GTGCAATTGCTTGTGTGTGCGGGAGGTCGAGAAGTGGTGAGCCGGTCGAAAAACTTGTGTGGAGCCGCTCATGGCTGTGTGGGGCTAGGTATGCATATTATTTTTTTTGTACGTCATCACGGTTCTTTGTTCGGGAAGCCGCGGCCATCTTGTCCGCCCTCGTTCCGCCGTAATTATCTCGCGGTACACGTACAATCTTTTTTGCGTCGTGCGTGCCCTAAACGAAGCACGGGCCACGATTGTGGTTGCTGGGACCTTGGTTTGAGGCGTCGTTTATTTGTGTCTGCAGAATAGGCTACTATTGTATAGTTTGTTTTTTGCCGGGGTGTCACGCGCTCACCACGGTGTTGACGCACGGGAACCTGCATATGTGCAACTACGCGCTAACGGGTTAACGACCGACGAATTAATACGAAAGAACGCAAACCTGGTACTTGTTATTCGGCTGCGAACGTTTGTCCCGAGGGGCAGAACAACGTTGCATGATGAGAGGGCACAATGTGGCGACGTTGTGAGCCAAGGCTTTCTCTAACCCACGAGGTTATGCTGTGTGTGCTTACCTGACCCGGCCAGGTTATGCCACCGGGGTCAGCAACCTGAGACGTTGTATTAACTGAAAATAGAGTGCTTTTTTTTCGGCTTTGTACAATGGTGCATACCGTAGTGCACCTGGGCCACCTGTGTACGTACGGTTGAATTTGTTGGGAAGGGGTTGCCGGCTAGTTGCATGCTTGATGGGTGTGGTACGCGGGCGCTTTCGGCGTTGGTAGTTGGTCATGCAGTTTCAGGGCTGCAAATAATGATATACGTGAGGAAAAGTCGGGGGACTCTCACAGCTGATACAATACGAGATGGTTGTGTGTTGTCCTTTTGGGGCGAAGAGGGGGAGCGGACCTTGTCACATTTGCCTGTGAGATGGGCTTTGGGTAACGCTCTCTGCCTTGGTGTATCACCCTTACATAGTGAAGGTTCAAGGTATGTGGCGAGGCTAACGCGCAAGGTCCATGTGTTTTTTCCGTGGTATGAGCCGCGGGGGTGCACCCGACAAAAGGGCGGAGAATTTATTTTCTGTGCCGTTGAACCTTTCTACACGCATTTGTATTGTCAGCCACTGGCCCCAATGGCGTGTGCTAAGTTCGTACGTAGTCGTACATAGGAATGGCTGGGTTGATTCGCATACTGCAACGTATAGCTCTGCATAAAATGTATGTTTCGTACCGTGGGGGATGTATGCGACGGGTGGACTGTGATGATTCAGGGTCGACCAAAGTCTTCTTCAGCGTGACGCTGTCCAGGGTTTTATTCATGACCAATGTACAGGGTTCGACAGCATCGACCTTATTAAGGTGACCACATTGTTACGGCCCCACAGGGTCGAGTGATGACAAACATGTGCAAGGTCGAGGGTAGGAACCTTGGCCAGGGTTCTACCCATAATCATGTGCAGGGTAGGACCCGTGATCATGGACAGGGTTCGACGGCATCGACCTTATTAAGGTGGCCACATTCTTACAGCCCCACAGGGTCGAGTGATGACGAACATGTGCAAGGTCGAGGGGAGGAACCTTGCACAACGTTCTACCCATAACCATGTGCAGGGTAGGCCCCGTGATCACATGGACAGGGTTCGACTGCATCGACCTTATTAAGGTGGCCACATTCTTACAGCCCCACAGGGTCGAGTGATGACGAACATGTGCAAGGTCGAGGGTAAGAACCTTGGACAACGTTCTACCCATAATAACCATGCACAGGGTACGCCCCGTGATCATGGACAGGGTTCGACTGCATCGACCTTATTAAGGTGGCCACATTCTTACAGCCCCACAGGGTCGAGGGTAAGAACCTTGGACAACGTTCTACCCATAACCATACACAGGGTACGCCCCGTGATCATGGACAGGGTTCGACTGCATCGACCTTATTAAGGTGGCCACATTCTTACAGCCCCACAGGGTCGAGTGATCACAACCACATGTGCAAGGTCGAGGGTAAGAACCTTGGCCAGGTTTCTACCCTTAATCATGTACAGGGTAGGGACCTATGATCATGTACAGGGTACCAGTGCATGGACCTTATTAAACTGGCCACATGCTTACGGGCCACAGGGTGTTCTGGGACGGGACCCTGTGCAAGGGCACAATGGCCACGGGTGTGCTAGGTCGCGTTGCAGACTCGTTGTGGACAAGTACAAAGGAAAACGCGGATCAAGCGCAGCAGTGCTCTTTCGCTGATGCTGCTGCTTCCATGCAGCTGTTGTGTGTAGCGAAGAAGGCAAGAGACACAGGAAGAGCGCCACATAAGGTAGCATGGTAGCACGCCCCCTGCCTCTCAGCTCCCGGGATTGTCTTATGCGGCGCAACAGTTGAGCATCTTCGCGTAGTCTAACAGCGCTGTGTGGACAGTTACATGTGTAAGACGGATCAAAGGAGCAGCTGTTGTTCCGCTGATGCTGCTCCTGCTGTGTGTAGCGGGGAAGGCAAGAGACACAGGGTGAGCGTCACAAAGATAGCACAACCCCTTCCCTCCAACGCCCTTGTTTGTTCTTCGCGGCGCAGCACTTGAACATCTGCAGCAGTATTCTGTGGACGTAGTCTAAGTGCGCCGCATTTTTCCCATCGTACCCTGTCCTGCCCCTCGGTTCCTGCAGACCCAACCGGGAAGTCAACAGTGGTGGTGTGTCAGGAACATAAGACGGAAGGCATGACCAGTGTAAAATCCAAATGTGCGAGCACATTGGATGTGAGAAGCGTCCCTCGTTTGGGTTTAGACTTGAAAACAAAAAACGGTTTTGTTTTCGCCACGCAGAGGATGACATGATCAATCTGGTTCTGCAGGTGTGTGCTCATTCGGGTTGTACTTCAACGGCCAACTACGGGCACGGAGGAAAACGTACCCATTGCCAGCCACACAGCAGCTGCTGGCGGTGTGCTGGACGTAGCAAAAGCTGCTTTTCTCGCAGCGGCAGGCTCCGCTGGAGCCGTGGGGCAGAGCGGCGAGGACGACGGTGTTGTGGTCCCTGGCGTTGACATGTCAGGCGATCTCCCTGCGGTGGAGCAGAGTGGTTGGGTGAGTGAGTGGCTTCAGAAGAGAGAGAGAGAGAGAGAAGTAGAGGGAGAGGGAGAGCGAAGGAGAGAGAGGCAGTGCTTTATGTGTGTGTGTGTGCATGTGTATGTGTGTGATTTGTCCCAAATGCGCTGCGCGAACTTTCCGTGTAAACCCCGCGGCTCACAAGATAACAAGTTTTGTTCCCCCTCCCCGCGCGACGTGGCCAGGGTTCCAAACAGCTTGCACCGACCCAGGAGGCGTTTGAGCGACGCGGCCGCGGCAGCAGACAAGTGTTGTACTGCCTGCGCCACTGCAGGTCTGGCACATCCTCTCGCCTGTCGCTCTCTCACACCCCCAGTACAGCGTGGGCACGTGCACGCATGCCCTCGACGCCAGTTCGCTTCGCAATCACGCGTTCTATCGTCGTAGAGCGAGATCTCATCCACAGAAAGAAGAATCCAGACATTTGACTTGAGGCATGGTTCCATCCGCCACGGTTCACCATACGGGTCAAACGCCAACAAACCATCACATCCTGCAGGTTGCCCGTGCCACGAGCAGTGGTGTTGCCGTACTAATTCCTCTTGAAGGGCCACTCTATCTGGTCTCAATAGTATTTCAAGACCACCGTGCAGCTGCGGAACCAGAAACACGCCGAAGGAAACCTCCTCACCATTCTGCCATCGCTGCTGTTGGTGCCATTGCTGCATTTGCTGATGCTCCTGCAGCTGCTGCCGCTGCCGCAGCTGCCTCATCGCCCCCGCACACATACTGAAACAGCCGCTGCTGTTGCGACTCAACGGCGCGTCTGCTGCTGCCGCCGATGCATGGACTCTTCGCCCCTCTTCTCCCATGTTTCGTCTGGTCTCCATCCCGCTGATAAAATTACTTGTTTGGGACCGCCTGCCGCCATCCCCATAAAAACCCATCTCTCGCTCCCCAGCTGCTTTCTCAGCTACATAAAAACCCATCTCTCGCTTTCCAGCTGCTTTCTCAGCTATCTCCCTTTCTCTCACCGCCGCTGTCTCGGCTGCCGCTTTCTCGGCAAAATCTCCTCTCTCTCTTCTTCTAAATCTCGCTCCAACTCTCCCATCCTCTCTCACAGCTCATCCTCAGCTGTCTTGTCCCCCATATGGCCGAACCAACACCGCCTAGCTAGGCATGACTCGATATATCGTGTTCGAGGGCGCCGGACCGCGTTAGCGGTTGGTGTTGAATGTAGGTGCTATGTTATCCCAGGATCGGCAGGGACCTCTCTCTCTCGTTCGTAGTCGCGTATATGTAGTTTAGAGTAGTTTTGTGATTCATTCCTCTCTTTCCGGGGGCTCCGCAGAGCCCCACCCCACACATTTCACATATTCTCCACACGTAACCCCTGAGACACGCATACAGATCGGTCTCATATCCAAGCACCCCAAACAGGAAGTGCATCCCGAACTTTCGCGTAGGACGACGAACCATTTTCGCAATCCTTCATGTACTAATATACATGACATACGAAACAACAGTGATACGCATATTTGCCTCGCTTTCGCCGCCCAGTCCCCCGTGCAACAGCCACAAATTACAAGTACTAGAGGCAATGCAGCGAGCACCCCGCATCGAGCGACGGCCCCCGTCTACCCAATCCGTCAGCATCTACATAGGATGCCGTGTGTATCATCCGTTTTTCATGTGTTAGAGATACCGAAGGCCCGCTTAGTCTACTTCGCAATTGGATGGACCCGAAAGACCCCCCCCCGAAGTAAGCTCCGGGATTGCGTTATGCCAGTTGGACATTCCACAAGCATTGGTCGTGATGGATCTGACAAGAAATAATACTCTCCTACTTCCGTGTTACACCTTTGTCAACATGTCGTCGTGTTCAACGATCACGAGCACCAGTTCCGTCAAGTACCAAGATATTTCAGAGCTTGGGCGATATGTTGGTTGATCCACTGCATCGTTGTTGCCTATACAGGCGCTCCCAGTTCCAATATGCACAATCCCCTCAGAAGCAGTACCTCATCAACTAGAGGGTCGTCCGGGCCGACCCATACCGTCCGGATGCCCAACGCACGTTCGAACAGCTCTGCCGCCTCCGCCGCCTGCCCCGCCTTCAGTACGCACTGGCCGAGCTCGACGAGAGTGTCGGCAACCCCCAAATTGTCCATGCCGGGCCCGTTCATCGTGATGTCCAGTGCTCGCCTGAACAACGCTGCCGCCTCCTCGCCCTGCCCCATACCCCGCTCCAACACCCCCGCCTTGTGCAGCATGGATGCTACCCACACGTCGTGAGGACCGAGCGTGTTTGTCTGTATGCCGATAGCCCGCTCGAGCGTCTGTCGTGCCTCGCCCAGCCTCCCCATCTCTCGTACGCATGAGCTCAGTATGACGAGGGCGTTTGAAACCTCTATGTCACCTGGCCCGAGCTTGGCCATCCGGATGTCCAACGCTCGCCTGAACGCCTCTTCCGCTTCGGCCAGCCGTCCATCTTCCATCATGGCACATTGGCCCAGAAACACAAGAGTGTCGGCGACCTGCAGATCGTCCGGTCCAAGTTGTGCCACCTGGATGCTCAACGCCCGCTTCAACGTCTCTCCCGCTTCCTCAAAGCGATCGCCGGACTTCCAGATGCATTGTGCTAGCTCAAAAAGTGTTGCCGACACCTTGAGATCGTCAGGTTTCAACTCTTTATTTTCCTTGACCAACGCCCGTCTGAACGACCCTTGCGCCTCCATCATCAACCCCGCCATTGCTTGTTCGCGGCCAAGAAAGAGGAGCACGTCCGTGCTTGGACCCCCGCCCGCCAGATCAAACAACTCCTCAACTTCTGTGGCAATTCCTCCAAACTTGAAAGCCAGCGCCTCCTCCTCCCGCCCCCCTGCAGCGTTCAAACACTCAGCCAGAGCGTGTCTTAGCTTGGCGACCTGCACATCGTCCGGGCCAAGCGTTCCAGTCCCGAGTTCAAGTACTCGGGTAAAATACTCTTGAGCTTCATCGACGTGCCCCGCCTCTTGCACGCACCAATCCAGCACGAGAAGGGTCGCCGAAACCTCCAAGTCCTGCGGTCCGAGTACAGCGATCTGGGTGTCAAGCGCGCGCTTCAGCCTTTCTACGACCTCGCCCAGACGCCCTGCATCCTTTGTGCAAGTGCTGAGCTCCTTCCGTATCTTTGCAACGCTCGCGACCTGCGGCGAGGCCCTATGAACGTTCTTCTCGGACAGCTTGGTCTCCATTCCACGCATCACAGAATCCCCGACCTCCTGCGTCATCGAAATATATAAAATTGTGTCAGGTACTGTAGTGCTGGACCGTTGGGTGGCGCGCGGAGAATAACCAACAACTCAATGATGCGGCCACCAAAAGCAACTTCACGTGCACCGTCGAGATCGACCGAATGTTGACTCACACGTGGATGTGGATTTGCATGCTGCGCACCTGTGATAATACACCAGTTATGTAGGAGGCCGTCGTCGATAGGAGCCCCACAGCCAAGGTGCGAATGGCAAAGTGTCGAATACTCGCCATCATGTGTACTGAAGGAAACGTTCGACTTGTCGATACTGTGAAGCAAGCCAAAATCACGGTCGGCAGACCTTCAAAATGGAGAAGCCGGGCATGGAGGGGGAGCGAGACGTCGGAAATATAAAACGGTCAGATTTAATGTTCATGATGGTTGAGAATTTTAACAATTTCTCTCAGGAAATGTAAGCCCCAAGCTCAACTACACCACAGTACCTAATCAAGTTTTACTAGACTTGAGTATTTAGTCGGGTGCAAGGGAGAAGCCCAAGACGTTGTGAAGGGTGATTGTCTTGTTCAATGGAGGGGAAGACGCTATAGACGAGCTACGGCGGGCGCTATCCAGTGGGGCAGCCGGCATCTCGGACGAGGAGAGGTGCTGGGCTCACAACCAGGTTTAGGCGTCACAGCGGCCGTCGGAGAGCTTAAGTGGCTGCGTTGGTGTGACTCCCACGGTAGTCACAGCCCGAGTAGGACTGGTGGGCGGCACAGATCAAGCTCGAGAGGACTACGCGAGAGGTGTCGAACCTTCAATCTGGCATGGACAAAATAGCTCGGTGCGCACTAGTAACCTGAGTGGAGACGAGCCGTTAGTCTCTGGCGTGCCGCATCGGCCGAGCATGGACTAGAACACAGCGATTCATTGAAGCCTCCTGAAGTTGTGCGTATTCGACGGCCAACAATACAAGACGTTTTCCTTCTCCGTGGGGGCACGAGCCAATACGATGATGGTAGTAGTTGGAAAGCAAATCCAGCGCGGGAAAGGTTTCTAGCGCGAAATCAACACCACTGCAGGGGTATCGGGTATACCATCTCCCAAACAGCCGCAAATAGAAGGCTTTGGTCTCAAAAAGTACGATGGATGGCCCAGAGCGTAGGATGCACATGCCAGATCTACGATAGTTTTGGATTGCTCACGGAGATGGCGGATGCGACTCGGATCGTGCGATCGGAGTGCTGCTTTACGCACATGGTGCCATTCATTGGTCAGCAGCAACATGCCTCGTAGGACTTCGAAGTATTCCGCTGGAGCAAAAGGGAGGGGTGCCGCAGAAAGGAAGCTTCGTTTCTATCAAACCCAAGATGGTTGGCCCAAAAGCTCAGTAGAGACCGCCAAGTAGATAGGTACATGTGACGTGTGAATTAAATCTCTCAGGTGTGCTGCTGGGACGGAAACATCGAAACGTGGGCCCTCTACATACGCTTGCGATGAAGAACCCGCCGCCACGGACCCTTTTTTCCTACACCGCGGGAGCCGTCCAGTGGCAGGAGCTATGGAGTGGTTTAGTCTAGATTTTTTGGTGATTTCTGACTGATCTGGCCAAGATGATGATTGTCGCTTTCCTGTTCTGAAACGATGCGTAGATCTAGGTGGGTGTGGTGGTCGTATTGAGTTGCTCTCTCCAAGGTACCGTGTACATGCGCGCCGCACGGATACTAACTGGTGTTCCTCTTTTTTGTTCGGTTGTGGGGACGCTGGGAATCGACAACCCACACGTATTTTTCTCAAGGTAAATTTCGGCACCAGTTCGTGTATCGCCGGTGCTTTGCGTCTGCCCGGGGGGGATGCGAGGCGATCTGAATTACGGAGAATTGTCGACTGTTGTGTCGATCTGCAATAGATGTACAATCTGGATGTCAACAATAGTTGATGTTGTCTTGGTGGTCTAGAAGTGGGACAGAACGAAAACGTGACAACTTGTCGCCCATACATCGATGTCAAGAGCTTGGTTCACCCCGAATTCTCGCGCCATGGAATCTTAGGCGAGGCGCTGGTTTGGGTTAGCGCGGGGCAGTCCTGATACATTTACTGTGGTCGGTACTCTCTTCTTAGTTAGCCGGAAGACTAGAGGATGTGTTTGTGAGAATGGAATTATTGGGTGCGTGCGCGCGCCGTGGTGTGCCAAGCGGCTGCTTTGGACACCGCGGCTGCTTTTGACACCATTCGATGGAAGGATGCCGCCACCTTGGCTCGCATAGAACGCAAAAGGCGGTGGGCCAGAAATCGTCATCTTGATTGTTCTCTGTGGATGTTGTCCTCGTCACCCGACATACTCTCAACTCTCTCAGCTTATTCGAAGCTGGGTTGTCTTTCTTGTTTTTTCGTCGTGAAAAACGTTAGGAAAGGAGGATCGCTGGGGCCACGAGAGTTCTCACGAGCTGTCGCGATCGCGCGCGAGAGATCGCGACAGCTCACCTCGCCAGCTGTCGCGAGAGCTGTCCCGCAGGATACTACGAAAGAGAGGAGCGCTGGCGATAACTCGTGACTGTCGCGAGATCTTTGTAAGATCTCGTGAGATCGCACGAGCTGTCGCGAGCTGTTGCTGAGATACCGCACCAACTCGCCACAGGTCGCCACAGCTCGTGAGATTTCATCAGAACCCTAGGTGTGGTCTGCCTCACGAGAACTCTCGTCACGACAGGCTAAGAGACCCCTCGCGTACGCTGGTCACGATAGTTTACGAACAGCTCGCCATAGCTCGCGACAGCTCGCAACAGCTCGCCAAACATTTTCAACACGTTTTATTCGTCAAAAACGGCTTTTCCCCTAGTCCGCACCCTCACCCTAACCCGTACCCCGAACGTCACCCGACCACCCACCATCGAGTTAGGGCTAGGTCGCCAGAAAGCGAAAGGTGTAGGTCGCTGCCCGTTGCGGGCCTCGGCTCCGCCTCGGCGGGCTGTTTCGTACGGTACTATGTACACAAGGTCCGAAACAGTATATTATTCCTAGATGTCCCGAGATTTTTTGCGAGCTGTCGCGAGCTGAAGCGAGCTGTCGCGAGCTGAAGCAAGCTGTCGCAAGCTGTCGTGACGAGCGTCCGCGAGATGTTCAGGAGTTGTCGTACAGAAACAATGACGGATTTTCGCGACACGAGCTATCGCGAGCTATCGTGAGCTGCCGCGCTAGTCTATCATGACAATCCCTGGCGATACGACAGCTCACGACAGCTCGATACAGCTCCCGAGACAGCTCGCGCGGGATGACCCAGTAGTCTATGTACAGGCCAGGCTGGAAGCGATTAGTCTAGTCTGCTCTTTCTCGCGCATCCATCGTCCTTGCGTCGAAAAATCATGAAACATGACCATGCTGACACTTTCGCAGAAGCTCATCTACATCTAGACTACATAGATAGTCTAGATTTCGAATCTCGGGGCTCGGGGCATTTATGTCGGTTCTGTCGGTCAGGGTGCCTGCTCTCCCTGGGGATTGACAAGCACAGAGCTAGCTAGCATGGTACCTCGCGAATCTCACCTATCTGTATCGTCTGCTGAAAGACAAGTCTCGCGCCCCTCTGACCCCTCTCACGTGTGCACTCCCTGGGTGAACTTCTGCATTTCGCTCTTTCGCTCGTTTGTCACAAAATTGGTTCTTCAAACGGTAGGATGCCGATTCGGCAAAATTCCGGGTGGAGAGTTCGGCAAAACTAGACAGTGCCGGTTCGCCATAACTCTCCCCCAACTCTCCCCCATTTTCATTTTTCATGGCACCCTGCACCTGGAGATCCCCCCCACAGCGTTTGAAGATCACGAGAACAATCTGACACGAAAACACGAAACACCCTCTTCGGCATCAAAACGCTAAAGTCGGCAAGGTGGGCTGCGTGTGATTGTTTGCCTTGAGTAGTAGTTTATGTCAGATGTAGACAACGCATATTGCCCGTGATTAGATAGAAGAGGCGCATCTGATTTCACCGTCCTAAAACGTATGCACAGGGAAGCATCTACTACGGAGGTACGACATGAAGTCCCGTCCCGCGGCCATGCCCCACTAACCTGTATTGGTTCCCAGTTGCGTGAGCGCGAGGAATGGCCATTGCGGGTCATAATAATGAGGAGCTCGGCGGCGTTAGTAGTCTGGTGGGAGCGACAAAATTGAGCGAAAATTCTACTCGATCCAACCCCGCATACTGTCTCCACATACCTGCTGCTTGCTAAAGTAAACTCCTCTCTAGTATTGGGACCTTGTGCTCGGTAATCTTCCGAGAGGCATGCCTGCAAGTACAATCTTCCACCTACAGAGGGGGGGACGAGAAAGCTTGAAGAACATGGCTGGAGCACAGTTTCTCACACGGTTAGAAATGGATTTGTGCAGATCTCCCCCACATGTCAAAGCCTCTGTCCTTTCCAGACTGTAGACCATCTAGGACAATGCCGCGCGCGAGGGACCTACTGACATCGACACTCAGCAGTGGGCAGGGACACGACCCGTGTGTCGCTGTGCTTTGACTATGTATTCGACCCATCGCGCACCAGCCCAGCGGGATAGTCTAGGTCGCATCATAGATGTTTGGCTCTTTCGTTTGGGGGGTCTTCGGTCTATCTCGAATGAACGCCATCGACGTATCGATGCCGAGTATAGTGACAACCTGGCTACCCACACGGGTTTCCCAGCATGCTTTGCTCAAACCAAAGGTTGGGACGAACCCAGAGCCAGCGGAGCTGGCCACCTTCCTCATGTTTACTACCATTCACTATCGTTGTCGGTTCGCAAGGTGTGAGAAGGCCATCTGATTGGGTGCCATAAGCAAAAAACCTTACGACAGCATGGAAAAGTACAACGCGGGTAAAATGGTTGGAAGAGGAGGCTTCGGCAAGGCCTTCCTCTGCTCCAGAATTCACGACGACAAGGTGAGATCGCATGATGCTTTCTTTGCACGACTACAAACCTCCTTGCGACGTTCAAAGCTCCGACCCGAAAAACAACCCGACTCCGCCCTATGCTCCCAATCGGCTTGTCCTACCTTACAGGCTTGTATTATCAAAAAAGTGGACGTGGCTAGGCTTTCGTTCAAGGAGCGCCAAAAGGTGACGGAATTTACGTTTTTCTTGCCGTGCGGGGTCTGTCATTCAATCTCAAGTTCCCGCAATGCCCCTACGTATATCGCTGCTGCTGACATTTTGTGAGGAGCCGAGCAAACTCGTTTTAGAATAGAGGACCTCGCAACATCGTCTCTACACTGCGGTGGCAGGAGCGAGGCCTCCCATACAGTGTTTTACGTGGTTTTTTACTGTTGTATTCACGTCGCCCTGATTGTGTTTGCGTTCCATACAGGGATGTAATTCAAGTCCCCTAGGTACTTCTCGCGTACGCTGAATCCAAAGCCCGTGCCGGTTGTCTGTTGAACCAACTGCAGTACACTTGGGAAGACATAACAAGCGCCTGCGCGATATTCGTAAGGGTTTCCCCAGCACTTGTAAATCGCGACCGTTTTTTGCGACAGATCGGATCGCTGGAAAATGAGGATGGTGCCACCCTATTTTCTCCTTCGAAACCCTCCTGTATTCCCTGACACCCTGACCGGAGTTCGTCCATAGCGCCTTCCTTGTCGTTCAATACCGTGAACAGTTGCGAAAGGTGACTACCTCGATGCGATACTGGCATTGATGTTGTCGTGGAGACAAACACGTTGGGGGTAGAAAACGTCCTGTTGATCAATTTATAGCACGAAACCGCGGAAGCTCTTGCTGCCGAACGCAAGCCCCACCAACAGAAGCCCTACCAGATACGACATCCCTTAGCGCATACTGGTAGCAGCGCGGACAAAAGAAAACCTATATCCACCTCACGTTTGCTCCGCTAATATCCCCACATTTCCCTCGGATACAGGCAACTGATGAAGCTAACCTTCTGGCGAAGCTCTCGCATCCCAACATCGTGCGCTACTGGGAAGGCTTCTTCGACGGGCTTGTCCTGTGCATGGTCATGGACTACGCTGAAGGCGGCGATCTGAGCTCATACCTGCAATCTCGCCGTGAGGGATCCAGAGTTCTCTACATTGCAGAGGAGCAAGTGCTCGGCTGGTACGTTTCGAATCAGATCGGTTTGCTGGCAGCATGGGCGAGGTCTATCACTGTTTTTTTCACTCAGGAGGTTAAGAGGTATCCCTTACCAGATCGGGCCGTTGGGTGTGTCCCCGCAGGATGGACGCGTTCTGGGCTTTTTCACGTTTGACCTTTGTGCATATTCGTCTTGCCGTGCGATGTGCACCTTGCCTATTCAATTGAAAATGGTTCAATGGTCTTGCCTACTTCGCTTGGACGAGGGCGACGACAACAGTTCTGGTTGATGAGATGATCCAGTTTAGCTTTTTGACCTACATGGTGTTTTCTCGTGCATGTCGCAATACCTAGGCTTGTACAGATGACCCGGGCCCTGGGCTACCTCCACGGCCAAAACATTCTCCACAGAGACCTCAAGCCGCACAACATCTTTCTCACGTGCTCGGGAGTGGTGAAACTCGGAGACTTCGGTATAGCAAAGGTAACATCGCCGTGTCTGCCCATTTTCTCTGTAGTCAGTCGTTCCCCGGTAGTTCGGCAAGAGTTGAGATGCTGTGTGGTGGCCAGACATAACCTGCTGCTTCTCTCGAACCCACTCGTTCCGCAAGGTCTTGGAGAACACGATTGACTTGGCGAGTACGATTATTGGTACACCGTCCTACATGAGCCCGGAAATGTTCCAGCACAAGGCATACAACCACAAGGCCGACATGTGGAGCCTGGGGTAAGCCAAACAGCTACGACATCGAACAGGTTGTCAGTCGTCTTCCATCGCACGTGATGATGCCTCGACGTAGTAGGTGACGCCAACGAAACTTTTGCAGAATGTTGTCCTAAAATTAGGAACTCCAAAGTCCTATGCCGCCTTGCAAATACTTTCAAGTTTCCACAGAACACCTACCCTTTCCGCGATATTCTCCTGCTGTGGTAAAGGTGTGTTCTCTACGAGATGGTTTCCCTTCGCTGCATGTTTCGAGGAAGCTTGATTCAGATGCTGGTAGCTCAAAGGGGTGGCCAACAGGAGCTGCCGCCGATACCTTCAAGGTGCGCCCCCTTATCATGACGCGAAGTCTAGCACAGGTCTACAACCCGATGTCTTCAGGATGTTCTCGATGCTCAAACCCTGTAGAAGCAGAGTGCGACGAAATCCGAGGTTCTTGAGAGTTGTTGGATGGACAGGTAGGCGCTAAAGGGCGATACGCCTGCTCGTTCGAACCTGTATTCGACTATCAGCAAAAAACGTCGACCTCGAATACATCAAAGTCAAAGTGTGCATGCCGTCAATCTATTGCTCCTGCTCGCGAAACCCGGTTCGTTTTTCAGCTACAGCGCCGAGATGCACCACCTGATAAAGGGTCTCACTCAGAATGACCCCGAGGCACGTCTTTCTACCGGCGACATCCTGTCCCAACCGTTCGTCAAGCGCTATCCCGAAGACTCGTTGGTAGGCGTTTCGGAGGAGAGAAAATATGTACATGGATTACGTTGTCCAGCCTGTTTAGTTGGGTTTTCAACAATCGTCTCGCACCCAACTACATTGCTGGGCAAAAGTTACGGAATTTGTAGCGTCCACCTGTCTCGACGCCGTGATAAGGATTGGACGAAACGCGCAACTGAACTGTGACCGCGAAATCAACAACGTGCTATACCCATGAGTGGACACATTTTCAAAGGCCTTCAGTTCTCGTGGAACCTGATAGGCAGTGCGCCTTTCAGAAGCTCGATCAGATAGGGGTTTCTACATGATTCAATGTCCTGCCCCGTTCACGGCCAATGGCATTGGTTTCTGACTCGTGCCTTTGTCGAAACACACGCAGATCGGCCCTTTGGAGGGCCCCGACTCTGCCGAAACCCTCGAGGTTCCGTGGGACACGATGGAGAACGCCAGGATGGAGGCTCTCCGCCAAGTCGATTCGGGGGATTTCGACATCGGCAATCCCGACATGTTCATAAAGCAAATGCTCAACACGGTATGTATGCAGCAGATACATCGGTTGCACTCAGGGGCTGATTTTTGCCACGTTCGAAATTGGGACACGCTGGAAAGCAAACTGTAGACAAAGTCTTGTCTGGCTTTGTTATTTTTGCCGCAAGTACTCCCTCGGTTTCTGCCCGCGGTCGACGATCGGCTTTGCTTCAAACTACTTTCGTCAAGATGTACTTATTCTTACTGGAAATCTCGCAGTATGTATCGCAGTGAGTAGCCGATACGATCGCCTCTAAAATGCCTTTCTAGTAGCGTTTCGAGCAGTCCTTGTTCGACGAAGAGGATTTTTGGCTGGGGCGGAACGTGTCTGTCTTCAGATATCGTGTACTTTCGACACCTCTTGGTTAACGTATAGGTCGCTTACGGAATGCGTCAAAGATGCCACGGCCCCTATTGCCAAACAACCACACAAGACATCTCAAACATCCTTCCTTTGCGTTCGTGGACGACTCAGGATTTGCTCAACATCCTTCGACAAGTCGACTACGTATTCGAGCGTGGCCACCGTTCGCCACGCGTCGCTGGTTTGAGGCATCCCCGCAGCCCCAGGACGGCGCACCAGGAATATTCTCCTCTAACGATTACCGGCTGGTGCGTGGGGGTGTTCGCGGTTGCGGCAGCAATTATGGTGCACGGTGAGAACGCGTAGTTTGCTTGTGTACAGAAAATGGTTTTGTGTCTGTGGCTTTCGTCACCTTGCATTGGACAGTTTATTGGTGGTAAAAATGAAGCTGGACACGCTCCTTGCAGCAGCCACTACTCTTGGACTTAGAGGGCCGCGAGTAACATCATGGGCACTTGGCAGTCTTGATGTGGCATTTGGACCTTCCCGTCTTTCAACAATATCCACGCCGCGCGGCTCTCCTCGTTGTCGTCTCCGTCGGCGGGGGCGTTGGTCCCCTACCTCGACCAACCGTGGAACAAGTGTTGGCGCCATCGATCCACTTCCTCTCCATCCGCAACCAGACCCAAATGCACGACGTCTTCCATGGGAAAGAGCCATGGGTAGTTCTGTGCAAGAAGAAAGGTCCCGACTACAACTCAGCGTATGGCCGGTTTGAAACAGCGTCGAGGACCCTGACGGAGTCGGTCAAGTTCGGGGTAGTTGATTGCTTTGGCTCTCTCCCTTCCGGCAAGAGCATCATCCAGAAGTTCGGCCTCACGGTGAGAGGACAGGTTTTTCAACAACAGCCCGTCTGGTCGCCGAAACTTTCGTTTTGGTTGCTTTCGAAAACACGCGATTAGTTCCAGCCCGACTTTTCACCAGGGGGTGCAGTTGCAGCTGTACGGAATGAAGGACGCGTGTCCCGTGTTGTGTTGGAAGTTCGTTCCTGTCCAGCCTCTCCGACATTGATACTACGGAACACGATCGGACGCAGTAAATTCGTTCGAGTCGATGTCGCCGGCATATTAGGAAGTTCTGACGCCCTGGTGAACCCTGCTAAACTGCCTTTGCCCGTGGCTAAACTTGATACGATCGAGGTGAACTGGCTACCGTTTGTTAGCCCTCTTGTCTGGTCTCAAAGTCACCCCCAATCATTCCAGGTCGGTCCGTTGTCGAATTTGAGGATTTAGGTTGTCCGTAAGTTAACCAGTTCACGCCCAACCCTTTTCATGCAGAACCGGTTGAACACGCCTATTCTGTTCGTCGCGGGAGCCGAAATGAAGCCGGTACAAGCCTCTCCCTGGAACATGGATAGCGAAGCCTCCTTGGTGAAGTGGGCGAGTATCGCCATAACGCCCGCGGCCTCGCCTGTAACTTCGACGCGCTCGCTGGAGACCAAGTGCATGAAGAAGGAACAGTGCGTCCTGATAATGCTGGCGGGCCAGCTAGAGGTACACAAACTGTGTAGTTGACAGAACATTGGGTGTTTAACATAGTAGGACCACAATGGGGTGTTACATTGGCTGCGGATATTGTAGCAAATGGCAACAACCCAACCGCCGCGCCTTTTCCCGTCCATTCTTGCATCAACGTAGAGTGCCGACGACTACGCGCTGAAGGAGGTGATGGCTCGCCACCGCAAAGTTAGGTTTGTCAGCATGGATGCGACCAAGCTCGAAACGTCGATCGAGAAGCGTTTCGACATCAAGCCGGTCGACGGGGCTCACCACTTCGTGCACTTCACCCGCTACAACGTTCCTGTGAATGCCAAGGTGTGGTTGGGCAAGATAACGCTTCCATCCTAGACTTCAGTACCAGAGAACAGTCGGCGTACGGCACACTGGTACTTCTGTTTTTACCTATTGTGCTGCCTTGAAGAATGTACAAGAATGGGGAAGATTGGATCACTCTCCAGTGGTCGCAAAACAGACATATTTACGCTTGTACACCGCGACATTCAGGTTCCTCAGCTGCCCTTCACCTCGTCCCGACATATTCGGCGCCGTTGCCTGCGCACGATTCCCTCTAATGAGCACATTCCCGACCCACGACGTGACCCCCGCCCCTCCTGCCCTAAGGCGGGTACGCCTCGTTGGGGCGTGCAGGTATACCGTGGAAAACTTGACACGGATTCGATGTCGGCGTTCTTGGGAGGCAATGAGGAGAAACAGGGGCTCAGGCACGCACCCACGGTTTCTACCCGAAAGGCAACGAAGAAGAAGCGGCCAGAAGAAGCAGCCGCGAGTCAGGGCGACATCCAGGCACCCTGATGCTAATGCGAGACCGTAGTGGGGCGATGTACCGACCGGCAAATGTAGACGATGACTGAGTTACAACGTTACCATACACATTTGAGGTTTTCAACGGGTTAGACTTCTTTGGGCGATGTGAATGATCGACCGGGCTTTTTGGTTCCGCGTTTCGTGAAAGCGAACCGTGGTTGATTCTAGACGAGTGGCTACAATTGTTCGGGATGATGCCATCGCTCATACGTGCGTACGTGGGCCCCCTTGGTGAGGATTTGATGCTCCCAGGAAACTGTCCATAGTGATGTATTTTGTGGTGTACATGTTGGGCAAACATACATAGAAAGAGCTCAAATGTGAGCGGGCATGAAGGCGTGCGATGACTACCATTGAATCGGAGCGAGCAGAAATTGCGCGCGGTGGGGTGAAACGACTGTTGTTGGTGCATATATGTAGAGGAATTTGATGTATCAAAAGATCGATATGTTGTTGGCGATAAATATAATAAGCAGGGGTAGAGGGGTAGAACAAACTGGGAGAGGTAGTCAACATGCGTTGCATGCTGGTACAGTTTGCCTATGTAGATCTATAGTCGAAATTGTACAGTGCAAGTACAAAGTAGGCAGGCATATTAAGTTTTTCACGAACCTTATCAAGCAACCAAAATAGTCTCGAGCCCCACGTGGTATTTTGCAACGACCATCGTACCAAAACAAAATTGAAAAGGAAAATGACTACCCATTCGCTCCAACTGGTCTGCAGCTACTCACACCTACAACCAAACCATCACGTCCGAAGAGAGCTCTTGGCAAGATCGCATAATGACACAACGCTAAAAATAATCGCAACTCTGCTGCTAAAAAAACATATGCCCCACACCGACTCTAAGCCATCCTCTACCTTGACTTTTCCGCTAGCCGTACTCATTGCCAGTGCGGACATGTGATGCGCGGCAGGCTGTAGTTGCCCTCCCTCCAAAGGTGCTACCTCACGCTCAACCTTTGCCTCCTTCATTGCCGTCCCCCCCGAACGTGCTACGGATTCGCCCGCGACTACCGCACCCCTCCCGGCAGTGTCGGGGACATCTGGAGCCTGCTGCTCTTGGCCATAGCCAAAGCTAACGCTTCCTTTGAATGGCCTGACTATCGCGCAACCTAAAAGCAGTTTTCCCGCCATGCACACCGCAGCGACGTAACTCCATGCACGACGGACGTCGTCAGGCGCTTGGCCCGTGTAGTCCGTAGACAAAGTGTTACCAACTACCGTATATGACACAAGATAACACACCCCCTGGACCGATTTTCAAAGCTCGATTACTCCACGACGAAGAGGATGCATAAATGAAACAATACGTTTTCGAACAGCTCTCGACGAGACGGTTCCAACGCCGCCGTTTTCGGCGCTGTGACTCTTCCTGCTGTTGAGAAATCGAGCTTTGAAAATCGGCCAAGGGGGTGTGTTATCTTGTGTCATATACGGTATCAAGCAAACCAAGAACTCGACCGTTGTCAGCGCACACCCTACATCGTACGAGCCTCTCTCGTCCATGACAGAGTCCATGAACGGCACGCCCATAAGCCGAAGCTGCGACCGAAAGCGCAAATGTTCTTGTCCTCGACCAAGCGAGCAGCGTAGAATCACTGAAAGCGCTATGCTTCACAAATTTCACGTGCGCCTCGTGTTGTTTAGACTACAAGTAGCTTCCACAGGCGTACTTTCTCCATAGATAGACTGCAAAGCACATACGCCGTTACATTTCCGCATCCGCACCTTTTCCTCGTTGCAGAAACCCTGAGCCCATCTCACCTCCCACGATTCCCTGTGCGACACAGGCTTCTTCTTCGCCTTCGACTTCTTCTCTGCCCGCTCTGAGACAGAGCGATGATCACCCCCCTGCTTATCCAGCTCTCCGGCGGCAGCACCGCCACCGCCGCAGTCGACGCTTTCACCCCTACATCCGCCACCCCCTGCCCTCTCTGCTACCTGATCGAGAGGGCTGTTGGCCTTCCTGGTCGACCACTGGAACTGCCTTTCCACCAAACCGGTTCTGTCCTCACTGTCCTTTTCCCGGCTTGTATGCAATCACTTCGCCGGCATCGGCCTCTTCCGCTAGCTGCACCGCCTCGTCACCTTCCACCAAGGCCTCGCTCGGCTGCGTCTCTTGTCAAGCGTCGGGGACAGCCGCCTGCGCGGAGCCGGACAGCAGCAACGGACTGTCCGCGCTGCCTCCACCAGACACTAAAGTCAAGTTTCAGACGCAGTGCGCTTTGGAATCGCCAACACATTCCTCGTGTTCATCGCCAACTCCGCTCCCGCTCCCGCTCCCGCTCCCGCTCACACCACAACGCCCTTTCCCGCGTGCCACCGCTCCCACAGTCAGACAGGCGGTGGCGAGGAGACATAGATTGGTCGCCTTGTTATCGACCGGTCCACCCCCTTCCTCTGTCCCACCCCTACTGCTGCTCCCGCTGCCACCATCTCCACCGCCGCCATGGCCGCCGCTACTGCTGCTAGCGTTCCCAACACTTGTCGGCACCGCTGCCGATGCTGCGACGTTCGCACCGACGCTACCACCGTCTGAACTACTTTTGCCGCTGCTGCCGTTGGACCCTGCTTACCCCCAGCTCCTGCGTTTGCACTACATCCTCCGAAGGTGCTGCTGTTGGCTCCTCTGTCGCCAGCGCTTGTGCTGACAATGCTTCCTCCGCTGCTGTTGGCTTCGCTGTTGTCTGCTCTTCTACCGCCGGCTGCCCCAGGTTCCCCATCGCTGTGGTCTTCGTGTTCAATTTCCCCCTTGCACCATCCCCTCCCTCTTGTCGTGAGTCGATCGAAACAGACTCACGCTCGAACGCAGGGGTGCACTGTCTACTGTTCCCGCCACTGGCACGGAAGGGCTGAGTGGGAAGTCGCTTCACTGGCCGTTGCCGCCGTGACTACCACATAAGCTGCTGTTGCGGTTTCTGCTGCCGAGCTAGCTGTGTGTGCGCGTTTGATCCCACCTGCAGATGAGCAGGGGTGGCGACAACCGACCCCCTCGTGCTTTTAGCAAGCGTCTTGGGAATATCCATTCCTTTTTGTTGTGCTTACCACAACGCATTCGAGCGCGCCCGACACCAATTGGCCCTGTGGCTACACACCCTTCACCGACACATTTCTGGTTTTGTATCAATCATTCCTTCCTTGGCGTGGTCTGCACAACATTGTCTCTTCTTCACTGATGGGAAGCCATACGAAAGATATCTGTTTCAACCGTTGTGCTCACACCTCTTCGTGGTCAGGTTGATCACACCGGGTTGTCATGTGTTGCCTACACGCCTTGTTGGTTTGGTATCCCTTAGTCACCGAGGGTATTGCCGTCGGTGTAGTGATGATGCTTGCGGGGTATCCGGTCGGCCTGTTTGCATTGAAAATTATCCGTGTGAAAGGCGATGATCGTCGTGTATCTCAGCCTCTTCTCACGGGGTTGTCTGCACACCTTCTTTTTGAGGTTTTGAAACTCAACTTGTGGTATTGCTCCAACGAATTTTCTTGTTCGAAATAATACGTGTTCCTTCGCACACGAGACACACCGTGCCTCGCAGTCGGTGCGGATTTCCAACGAGCGCAGCCGTCGCAAAATGAAACATTGCAAGTTTACCACCACTGATGATTTTAAACCGGAAACAACACACGAATTTCAGACACGCGCACACGCATACTGCCAGGTTTCAAAAACAGTAATGCTCGCCGACGTAGACATCGATCTCGTGACTGCCTTCTCGCCCGATGCGAAGTCCATGGCATCATTCGCGGGAGCCTTCCGACGCTCAAAAGGCGTCGTCTATGCCACCATCCCGGCCGCTATCGAAAGCGTCAAGCAGAAATGACTAAAGTCAACGACAAACCCTCTGCAACCTCGAGCAGAACCCGGGCATCGGACACCTGAAGGCCACTGTCGAGCGCGAGTGCATCGTATGTAGAAATAATTGCAAGGTACCCCGACGTACCCGGACTGCATCAAGGGCCTCGAAATCAATGTGGTACATGTGGACCGCAACACCGGATGATGAGCTCATGCCTCTCGTGCGGTCGACGATGCCGGTCAATATCAGGGAGGGTCACAGCTCGTACCACGGTCAACACACATGCAAAACAGTCATCCCCAAAGCTATCCCCGGTGTCATTCCGAGAAACATGACGTTCGCTCACAAGAACGGACCACGCCAACGAGGTCAACGCTTGGATGGAGAGAGTTCGCCAAGACAAGCGCGCTGAACAAGAGAAGCGCAAACGAGTGGCGGCGGATCAGAGAAAAGCGCGACGGAAGAAACAGATGGGCATGAACGTGAGGTGGATGCGCACGGTACCCGAAAGCGCGAAGAAGTACGTGTCGAAAGTGTCCGCGGAGGACAGCGTCGCCGCGGTGTCCGTCGTCCACGCCTTCCAGAGGGATGACGATGTGATCGAACGCCCTCTTCCGGGCGTGATGATGGCGTAAATATCTCGTTTATCCACCAACAATTAAAATGTATGCCGAAACTAAATAGCAACATGGACGCCGGAATACGCGTCGACCGTGCATCAAACAAGGGCTCTGTCACGGACGTCGCTCAACTGGTCCTCAAATGTGACGGAGAGGAGGCCGAGGGAGCTATTCGCAAGCTCCTCGGCGTCACCCCCGACAGGGATTACAACTTCCTCAGAGTTCAAATCAACAACAGGGGGAGGCTCACGCTGGTGGCAGGCGTCCACATGCTTATCGCGATTGTATGGCTCTTGCCCGGCGTAATTGCGGATGACGTTCGTCGCGACATCTCGCACAAGGTGTGCAAAGCTCTGGGCGGAGAGACAAGGCTCGTGGAGGAAACCGAGACGCGTCACATCGCCATGCGAGAAGCAAGCCTGCGCGCGAATGCCAGCAAGGTGGCCGCGGACCAGCTGCGAGACATACCACCCGGCTTCGAGTTCGTTTGTGCTGAAGATCGGGGGGAGCCCACCATGGACAACAAGATCGACGTCGACCAAGAATCGAACAAGGCCGCGACCGCGGGTGTTGATGACATGCCACCTGGATTTCGGTTCCTGTCTGATGAAGATCGCGAGCAGTTCGCCAAACAAATGGTCGAGCAGTCTCTTAAACGTAAGCGCCAGGAAATCGAAGAAAAGGACATCTCGCTCAAGCGCAAGCGTTGCGACAACGTCATGAGCTGTTACAGCTGGATGTCTGATTTCGGCTATGAGTTCGAGTTCGATTCGTGCACAGTATTTCACATTTTAGATACCATGGCCGCCCTCACCGAAGTAGACGCTTGTTTCACGTGCGAGGAGATATAAGCTTGCTTGCGGATCGACAAGCCAGTGTCACCAAGGTCCTTTCGAAAAACGCATGCACCTGACGCGCACAGCACACGTTAATAGAGGCCCAATATCATCCTGTAAACGGGATGAATACGGCCGTGCACGGACGAGTTGGAAGGCGCTGATTCGGGAATATGGAGATGTAGTGGTGTCTTTGCTTTGTCGCCACCGCCATGTTGGAGCCGTTCGCGAGGAGCTCGTCGCGCGTGAAGAGGAAGAACAGACGAGGGAGGCCAGACCCATGGCCCGAGAGGACAAGCACCCTCTGAAACAGCCCGGGGGGGGCGGGGCGGATATTCCCATGTGTCCGCATGATCGCGCGTGACTACGATTTCAATACATATGTGCTCGTGTTGTTGCCCGATTGTGACGTGCGAGCGATGAAGACTATATTGTGGCAGTCAAGTCGTTGAAAGTAAAGAAACTAAGCCAGGTCGGCAATCATGGCGTCAAGCTTGGCCCCTTCGAGGATGGCCGCAATCTTAACATATTCAACAATCATGGCGTTACGCCTGGCTTCTCCGGCTTTGAGAACAGAAAGGCGCTTGCGCACTTTTTGTAAAGACAACCGATCAGACTCGTTTTCTTCGCAAGACGTTTTCACACAGGCGGTGTACTTCGGCGTCGTAAGTTCTGGGTAAACAATCAGGAGCTGACCCAAGTTGGGTTGTTGTCTCCGCAAATAAAAATTTACCCCAAACTTTACAAGTCAAGGCGTGTGTAGACGTGCCACAACTCGTCTGCAAGCATGTTGGCCTGGCTGGCTCATCGGCTGCTCCACTCATGGAATCTCAAAGGAAATGCTGGCGAAAACGAAAGATGCTCTGAAGCTGCTGAATGATCTCACGTCCGACGGGAACATCGGCGACGACTACTACCAAGCGCCTGACTTCGCTGCTGCCATGAACAGGAACCTCGTGGAGCTCAGGCCCTTCTTCAAAGCGAAGGAAAACATCTGGTTGGTGACGAGTGGTTACAGAGTTCGACAGGCCCACCACGACGCATTCTATATCCTCAGCGCCTGTCAACTCCCAGTTCCGGTCGATATTTTGTACGGCAACGCCAAGCAAGCCTCCAAGGATGTAAAATACACGTGCAACGGCATGAAGACCGAAAACACCGGCTGGGGCAAGCACAAGCAGGAGCGGATCGACGAGGCGTGGGCCACCCTCGAGGCGGACACCGTGGACATCGAGTCGGGGCCCCCTCCGACATACGGTTGTAGGGTGATCAGAGCGCAACTTTATGTTGCGGAGAAGAAAGAGAGTTCGTCGGCGGTTGTTGTTAGCTGAAAATATCAGGTGTGTCATTTTCAGAGTAGTAAGATGGATTCTTTGCAGACGCTGGCCCGCCATTCCTTTTTTGAAAGCTCAAGTCTTGGCACAGAATTACCATATGGTATCCCGGGAACGCTGCGTTCGTGGGTCCAGTCGTGGGGGAATGCGTGGGGTTGGACAAGAATGGAGACGTTGTGAGAAAGAACATGAGTGCGTAGAACGCGAGTCGTCGAGCAAACTTTGTGTGAGCCGCGCTTTCACAGGAAAGGTGTGCCCTAGCTGACACACTGGACATCCGCCATGCCACGAATCGTTGTGACGGGGACAAAGCGTCAGAATTTAACGACATTACGATCAGCTGTTGTTGGGATGGACATGGCGAGTAAAAAACTGTGCGAATATCAGGCAGAGGATTCGCGCGGACGAGCAGAAGGAAGCCGAGTTTCAGCGCCGGTACCGCATGCTAAGAAACGAGGTGGTTGACAATACGCCAGAGCGAGGCCTGGGAGGACAGCCTAGAGTACATTCTGTGGGGAGAAACTAGGTCTTCGATTGAGTTCCTGCCGAGGGGCATGCGGAAGAAGTGTGTTGCGCGACTGGCGCAAGATGGTGTTTTTTTTGAAGATTTTGAAATTCAGTATTCTATCTGCTCGGCGCTTCTCGGGAGCTTTTATCGATACTGGAACAGGGGATGGTGAACACCTCTGTTGAGTATAGGCGCCGCTCTGGACAGTTTCTGCTTGTTTTTGGGAGAAGCAACACAAGGGCCGCCGTGTGGTGCAGCCAGCACTAACTATCCATCGAGACGATAGTCAGTGCATTTAGCACCAACATTAAAATGCTGCCGTTCGGTTTCAGCGCACAGGTGTCTGTTGTGTTTCGTTATGGTAGCACCAGCTGCCGCAAATTTTGCAGTTCTGCTGTATCGAGAGCACCCTTCAGACCTTTACGCATGTAGAGCACACCGACTCCAGGAGAGATGAAGCTCACCTTCTCAGTGCCGCCGACATCACCGCCGCAGAAAAAAGGGAAACGAATACGTGCCACCCCCAAAAAATGTGATGCAACTCACCGTCATGTTGCTTTCCAAGCCCAGGCCCACAGATCGCCTCCCTCATCGCCTCCTCCTAGGCATCCGCGCAAGTGCTCGCTCCGCACGTTCTGCCCGCCTCCTCCCCCCTTCTACGGGTCTTGCTGCCCTACTCCCCTCCATCGCCACCTCCCTCCCCCTCCGCTCTGGAACACAAACAAACAGGGGGTCGGGTGTCAAACGGCGTCTGGCAAACCGACGCATTCACTCGTCGGAGATCAACACATAAATATAGTTCGCCCTTCCACCAACTCCAACCCTAGAATCTGAGTCTGACATACCTTTTATTTCGAACCAGCAGTTCTAGGTCCGTTCGCTCTGTCTTCTGTTCCTCGGTCGTCTTAAGCTCGGTGCCAGCGTTGCAGTAGCCACACCTACTCTTGTCATGGAAGCCGAATTTAGCACCCCAGCTCCTGATATAGTCCACCGGGATAGTGTCTCCAGGAAACACCTGTACAGGGGCTTCATGCAAACGCTCACCCTCCTTTTCACTGGGAGTCTTGTGGCGATGAACGTCGTAAAAATTGCACGAAACAGTGGAAAAGAGAGTTAGCGGTCAATCGAAGGGTGCTCAAGTACACACCGAGTTTCTACCTGCTCTGATTTGCCCCATGCACCTACCTCTCTTCCCACGACATTCTCCTTCTACTCTGTATATGATGAAAGCACCTTTATTCGATGAAACGTCTTGCTCGTCTGTTTCTGCCTCTCCTTTTCTCGCTCGCCTTTCCTCTCTCTTTCCCAGGCTTCCCTCTCCTTCTTCTCCTCTTGTGCCAATTCTTCCCTGGCGTCCACGTCGCTCTCGTAACATGCATCGTCGAAGTCCATAGCCGCCTCGTCATCATCGAATCCAGCATCCCACACCTCCTGCCGGCTCTTCGGCTCGTCAGGCATCTTCTCTGCCCGCCCTGTTCCACAAGCTTTCTTCGAGTCGCACTCCGCAGCAGAAGCTGTTGCCGCGTTTCTCCCAGCTCCTCCGCTACGGCGCCGTTTGTTTCGGCCACCTCGAGCATCTGTCTGCTCCCGCTGCCCCGCGTTTCTGTTTCTTTCTCCCTTCCCCTTGGCAGCGGTGGAAGACGCACCTGCGCTCCCACCCCCGCTCGTCTTCCCGGCGGCTGCTTGTAGTGCTGCTGCTCGTGCTGCTTCCGACCCCGATGACGTTCCGCTCTCAACGCCTTCGCTCCCACCGCCGCCGCCGCTACTGCTGCTGCTGCTGCTGCTGCAGCTGCTGCTGCTCGAAATGCATCCACCACCTCGTGCCACCGCTGATGCCTGTCTCGACGCTTGATCCTGGCTCCCCTTCGCTGCTGCTGCGGCCGCCTTCAGCTCCGCCTGCAGTTTGCTGGAGTGTATGGGATTCCACCTGGGAAAATGGGGGCAATGGGCGCTTAAAAAAGGAGGCCAGTGGTGCTGCTTCTCTCGGCGCACTTTTCAAAAATAAGGGCACAGAATGGTCATGTAGTACAAACTCTCTCACCACATGTTGGTACATCGCCGTATTACTTCCACATTTGAAGCCGACTTGTGGCGGGTGTGCTTGGCTCTGTTGGCACGGATGGCCTTCTGCATGGTCTCGGTGAGACCGCAAGGGATGCATTCCTCGCTGAGATAAGCGTGCTGTACGAACGAACGATCAGGGCGGGCAAAGCAAAAAGACAGGAATGGTCAACTCGTTCCAGCAGTTGTAAACGCATCCACGCACAGCAACATGAACGACACCGTACATACTGCTTCGCGCTTACCGTGACGCTTGTTGTCTTTATCTCCTCGACAAACCACCACCACGCGGACGGCGTGATCCCGGAGTTCTCTCCCGCATTCAGGCACCAGATGTTGCCCCTGCGTAGCACCTTGGCCAGCATCCTAAGCTGCTCGTCTCGAAAACCGATGCTTACGTTCTGAATGTACAGAGCTTGACAGTTGCTGTTGCACATCAACGCCTTCAGCACGGCGTTTATGATGGGCGTGCTCACGTCCGCTGGGAGGTAGTCGTGCAGCTTCAGAATCTCGACCCTTGGGTCGTCCGCCCGAATTTGGTCGAGCAGGCGAACCACGCTGGTCCTTTCCAGCGCAGAAGACCCCGGCACCCTGTTCGACCGCCTGGGCACGGAAATGTCGTCCTCCTATGGAAAAATTGGATAAAAGAGAGGCAGTCGATACGAAGGTTCGAACAACATGCAGTGTGTGGCGACTCGGGTTTGCCTGCACCCATTTCTAGCCGTTGTTCTTCCAGCGAAAGCAAGATTATCCTTATTTCACCTAAAGTCAAGTTTCAGAGACATTGCGCTTTTGAATGGCGAACACCTACCTCGTGGTGAGCGCCACCCCCGTTCTCGCTCCCGTTCCCGCTCCGGCTCTCAACGTCGCTGCTGCTCCCGCTCCCACCACCGCCGCTGCTGCTGCTTCCTGAGGCCACTAGTTTATCGCTTACAGCTCTTTCCTGCTCCTCTCCGTCCTCGTCCGCCCGGATTTCGTCGAGCAAGTCGTGCGAGCCCCGGCTGTTCTGAACTCGCTGAGCTTCACCCGGCTGTATTGCCACACCCGCCGACCCGCGAGACGTCGGCATCACGTCGTCGGCACCGGCTTCTCCCGCTGCCTGCACCGCCACACCACCTGCCACCAAGGCGTCACTCGCCGGACTAGGTTGCTCGCACTCCGTGTCTTGTGCAGATGCAGGCGCCGCCACTGGCTCGTCTGGCTGAGTGCTAGTCACCCGTGTGGCCGCGAGCTCTTGCGAAAGGTCCAGCGCACCGTCTTCGATCGGAACGGTTTCCTATTCAAACGAGTGGTCGAAAGGGTGGAGCGGGGAAAAGCGAAGAGTGGACAGGCATCAGTCTTCTTTCCAGGACCACTCTGTATGTGCCTTCCTGCGGTGCCTGTCATGGTGTCTAACACGGGGAGTTCAACAATCGCCCTTCGTTTTTCCAAATACTCAGCCATGCTTCGGAAATCAAAACTCACATCACGATTGGCCCCATCGCCGCCACCACCGCTCTCGATCCCTCCACAACTCCCGTTTCCCTCGAGTAGACAGACGGTGGCGAGGAGATTTAGGTTACTGGATGACGCCATGTCTACGCCTCCGGCTCCTGCTGCTCCTGCTGCCGACACCAATATAGCGGCGTCTATTGCCGTTCCGCTCTCGCCGCCTCCACTACCACCGCCACCACCGCTGCTCGGAATGCACCCACCACCTTGTGGCGGTGTTGTCTGCCTCCCCTTCTCACCCGTAGTTGCCGTTGCTGGCGCCGTGCATCCTTCCTCTCTCGCTCCAACTTCTACTGTCCCTCGTTCACCGCTCGTCGGAACAGGCTGCTCAGGATCCGTCTTTTGTCCAGGCGTCAGCGCGGCGGCACCATCGTCATTTGAGTCCGCTTCGGTCACGGGAACGGCGTACTCCTATGGAACGGGTGATTAAAATAGTGGGTCGGTGACAGCGCGTCAAGCAGCCGATATGAATGTTCGGACAACATGCACCTCTGCAGTGTGTGGCGGTATACTAACGGTCCGCTAACAAGTAAGCTGAAGAAAGTAGATCGGGTCACACAGGCACAGGCCTTTTTTGTTGCCGTCTTTCTTTCGGCGAAAGCAATCATCCCCTTTTCTTACGTAAAGTCAAGTTTCAGACACAAGGCGCGTTGGAATCGCCAACACCCACCTCGTGTTCATGAACACCTCCGCTCCCGCTTCCACCACCACTCCCACCCCCGCTTGCCGCCGCTCCGGTGCCCGAACTACCTTCAGCGCCTTGTGGTACCGCTTGTGTTGGTGCTGGTGCTGGCGCTGGTGGTGCAGCTGTTGCCGGCGCCGCAAATGCGTCTATCACCAGCGCACGTTCCTCTCGCCCCACCTCGCCCGCTGTTGCCGATGCTGCCGCTGCTGCCCCACCTCTCTCACCCTGCACGCCCGCTGCAGCCTCTGCTTCCGCTGCTGCCTCCCCCTGCACGCCCGCTGCTGCCGCTGCTGTGTTGACCGCCGACTCCGTTGGTTCTCCTTGCCCCTCCCCTTCTACGCGCGCTGCTAACCCTTCTTGTACCGTGACTTCTACCACATGCGCCACCGTCTTCCTTACTTCGTCTCTCTCGTCCCCCTCGCCTCCCCCATCGCCCTCCTCGCCTTCGCCCACAGGTGGTGATGCTACCAGCGCCGGAGATGTGTCCTCGCGTTCCCCTCGCCCCACCTCGCCGGCTGCTGCCGCTGCTGCCCCCGCCGTAGCCGCTGCTGTGTTGACCACCGACTCTGATGGCTGCCCTCCTCCTCCCCCCTCCCCCTTATCTCTCGCTGTTGTGTTCACCAACGAATCTCGATCCGATGTGTGTGCCACGGCCGCAAATGCTTTTACCGCTACCGCAACCGACTTATTGCGCGGCTCTGGTGGCTTCCTTCCTCCTTCACTCTCACACTCCCCTCGCGCTGCTGTTGTCGCTGTTGTGTTTACCACTGAATCTTGTACGGACCCAGTTGCTGCTGATGCTGGTCTCTGCCCTAACTCTCCCACGCTATCCCCCTCTCGTACCGTTACTGATGCTGGCGATGTGTCTACCACCGTTGCTGCTGATTCTGGCGATGAAACTACCGGCCCCCGCATCACCGAAGCAGCTGCCGATGCCGCGCGTTTACTCATCCCTTTCTTTTTGTGATAGCCACAGTACGTGCTCTTGCCGAAACCGTAGTTGGCTAGGGTTTTACACTCTGGTTCGGCACAACTCTTGTCCTTTACGTTGCTCATCCCTCTCTGGCCTTTGCCGTGTTCTGAACAAAATATTCTTTGGCCTTTTGTTGATTCGGAGACACAGCCGTACGAAGGAGATCTTCTACAACCGGCGTACTTACAGTGCGTCGCATTCAGGCTGATCATAGTGGGTGTCTTGTGTGCGAAACACATCTTGTCCCCACGTGGCTTCCCAGTGGTATCTGCACGATGAAGAGAGGAGTGAAAGGAGGAAGGTGTTAGTTACTCTGCTCAAGTGTGCTGACTGGTAAAACAAACACACATGCAGCAGTAGAGCAGCAGTAGCGAGTGTAAATCTCGCCGTGTGTGCGTGTAGTTGTGGGCAATTGGCTTGAAATGTAGACGCTTGTACTATTGTGGAGAGGGGAGAGAGAAAGAAAGAGAGGCAGCGAAAGAGACATCGAGAGTAGAGAGAGATAGAGAGCAACAGGTAGCGAGTGTGTCGCCGCAGCAGTAGCGAGTGTAATCTCGCCGCGTGTGCGCGTAGTTGTGGGCAATAAACAGGCTTGGAACGTAGACGCTTCTACTACCTCGTACTGTGGAGAGGGAGAGAAAAAAAAAAAAAAAGAGAGAGACAGGGAGAGAAAGAGAGAGATAAGAGAGAGATGAAGAAAGAGAGAAAGAGAGAAGTAGGGGACGGGGGAGAGAATAAAGGAAAGGGGGGGAAATGATGGGAGAGAAGGCGAGAGAACTTGCGAGAGAGAAACGCGGTTACCACATCATCTGCTCACCTCTGTGGCCATAGCATGCTCTTGTTTTTGGGGGACATCTCTTGTCCGCACAGTACCATACCATGGTGTTGGCGGGTGTGGTCTTGTACGACGTGACTCAGCGGCACACTGGAATTGAAATCTACCATACCCATGCAGTATGGGGGTGTCGTGACATTGTACGACGTGACCAAAACAATTACACCGCCCGTGTAACGAGAGAGAGGCAGAGAGAGGCGCGACAGAGACCCAAGAGAGAGAATCTCTTTCTACTGCCTGCTCTGCCTGCTGCAGTAGCTCACAATCATACATGTATCTTGTGTGTTTTGTTGTACAATGTGACTTTTTTTGTACGACGTGAATTTTTTGTACGACGTGACTTTCTTGGTACGACGTGACTTTATTGTACGACGTGACTTTTACAGCCCGTGTGACGAGAGAGGCAGAGAGAGAGAGACACAGAGAGAGACAGAGACACAAGAGAGATAATCTCTTTCTACTGCCTGCTCTGCCTGCTGCAGTAGCTCACAATCATGCATGCATCTTGTGTGTTTTGTTGTACGACGTGACTTTTTTGGTACGACGTGACTCAGCGGCACCGTGAAAATATATATCTGCTAGTGCACAAATGAGTTTTGTGGGTGTAAAAGGTGCGTGTTTTCTTATTAAGCATCGACTGCGCTAGCCGGCTGACCAATAAAAAGTCAGTCTCAGTGCCGTTGAACTATACAAAATGCTCCGAAAGGCCACGATTTGGGACCCTGTGACAGGACGTCATGAGGGAGTCTACGCTTCTCTCCGGATGAAAGACGGCTAGATGCCGTAGCTTTTGTGTGTGTGTTTGTCTCACGATGCTGGACACCAGTCTACAACTTTCGGCGTAGGCTATGTTTGAATCACCAAGGGTCACACAGGCCCACGGTAAACAGATCTTCTTCTTGCATGTGCGCACCATCATATGTACATTTTAGGTACGGTTTCTTATGCTACATGACAACATTACCCTCATGGCACAGCAGTAATTCTTCTGCACAGCAGTTATTCTGCACAGCAGTTCTGTACCGCAGTGGCGTTTAGACCGCACGCCACAAGTACGACGATGGGACAGCGGGTTAGGCCACCGCAGTCACCGTCACCGATCCGCCGCCTACTAATATATTGTGCATATGTACCAAATGATGAACAGCAGTTTTGTTGCTGTGCACAGGCTCGCCCGTGTACACCGAATACTCAGTTGTGTGGGTCGGGTTTAGTGCGCCATATTCTGCATTGGTCTCTTTGAGATGCGAGACTACTGCAGACACTGACGTTACCTTACTTAGCGGAATCAAGCGGCCTGATGCCAACCTATTGATGTTGACAGATATTGAAAATAACCGCAGGAGCACCAGAAAATGCACACGAGGCACAAAATACCAGTTGGAAGACGTCGGGAAAAACAGAAATCGTTAATTATCGCATAGGGCTGCAGTAGAGGCTGTTCTAAACATACTTATCATGCAGTCTACCTCCACAAGTCTTGCTTGAAATCAAGATAAAATCACACTAGTCTAAATTCAAGTCAAAGGAGTGAACGGGTACATCAGCAGAGTTGTTTGCAAGGGCGTTTGAAAAGTATCCTCCGCTGACGTGCGAGATGCGCGGCCCAAATGTGCCTGGTTCACCGTAGTATTTACAAGGAAATCTTCGATGGACATGGGGGGGGGGTCACAAGCCGTCCTTGCGGTCCATCTGTTCTACCCAGCGGCAGAAGCTCTCAACGTCGCTCTTATTCTGGTCGCCATCACCGTCACCGCCGCCGCCGCCGCCGCCGCCTGCACCAGAGAACGGCGTGTCCTCACAAAACTCGCGGTAGAAGTTGTGCGCGAAGTTCCGGCAGTTGTTGGTGGCGAGGTCGAACTGCCGCCCGCTCTCCCTCCGGAAGAAACCCGAAGCGATCTCTTCCAGAGAGGACGCCACTCTTGCCTCGCTGCGCACCGCCCTGTGCTTTACCTCGGAGGGGCGGACATCTGAAGCGGTCACGCCGCCCTCCCCCCGGCGCTCGAGCAACAAGCAGCGGCCATCTCCCACCTGCAGGAGAACTGCAAAGTGGGTCCTGATCTCGCCGGCGTACTGCTGCTCTTTCGAACCTGTGAAACGGGCCAATCAAGAGCAGACACGGCGGCGATTGTTGCGACCATGAAAAAGAGCGGTGTGTTGAGACTTCGGGAGGCCAACAGACTCAAAACATGCCCCCGTTTCCAAACGTCGAAGTTTACCGCGAGGGGGTCAACGGACAGTACTTGAATTTCTGGTCTTGATTCCGCGCGGCAACTACTGCTGTAATAAAAATGTTCATTGAGACAGCTCTCACGTGCTGCGTTGAGCGCGCCGAGCTCTTCCGCGACCTCCCTGACAACTCCATCTTCCAGCGGTATTGCTAGCACCCACGCTTTCTTTTCGCTCGTGTCTGGGTAACGGGCCAATACATCGTACTGTTGTTCTTCGGCCCGTTCTCCTCGTTGTCTGACTCGACCTTGCCGTCGTAAATCGCTCTCCTTCTCTCCTTGGCTGCTGCTGCTGCTGCTACTGCTGCTGTTTAGAAGCATCGCATTCCGGCTGAGCTTCTGTTTCTTTGTGCCTGCTGCTGTGCCAAAGGCCGTGATGCTGCTGACGGGGTGCTTTCCTCGGAGGGCAGCTGGATCGCCCTTCGAGCACGGAGCAGTTGTGACGGAGGCATTGCGGAAGAATCGATTGATGAAGGAATCAATTGACGAAGCAAGGACACCGGGTAGATGCGAAGAGTGATGGGAGGCGTGCCGGCCATGGGCGTTACATCTCTCCCCGTGGAGTACATAGACCACATGCATGCAAACTTGACGTGCCGTGCGTACAGTGCGAGTTGTGGATTGGGCGAAACACAACAGCAGCAGAGACAAACGACAGGTACAAAAGTTCGACCGTGAAGTTGTGGCAAGCTCCTGCAAAGTATGATACATATTGTTGCCCACAAGGGCCAGATGCAAAGTCAAACATTCAAACATTTAAACACCCGCAGCCTGGCTGAGCCGGGCTATGTACAGCAGTAGTTGACACCCATTTGACATTCTCGCTCAAACAGTCTTCACGCCTAGACTGCATTAGGCTAACAGCATGTACGCCTAGACTACACGGGCTGTAGCCGCATCTTACTTCGTTCCTTGCGGCTTGACCGCGACACTGTATAACTCAACGAACAAACACGATGACCACAATACTACAGTCAGAGCTGACTTGTAGTCTAGTGGTAATTGGGCTTTTGGACTCATCTTGTCGATGTTGCTGCTGCTGCTGCGCCATTCATGCGCGAATCAACGAGGACACCTACTTCAGTAGCATACAAGGACCTGCCTGACCTTTGACTGCAACCGCTGTTGCGTGGTCGCCAGTTGAGGGTAAATACAGTAAACACATGCCGTTTGGTGCTCTAGGCATGGGTTGCGGTTTTGGCTTGTGTAGGTTCGAGGGAAACCAGTAAACACATCAAGCTGCCTTGTGCTGTGGCGTGGGTTATGGTGTAGCGTCTACTGCTGTACATTATGTGGACTGGTCCATACATACACCGATCGCTTTGTGGATTCCCGTCGACACTCGTTTTACTCACCCGGTTGCGGTAAGGATGGTGTACTTTGATCGCGCCCCACCCCTCCGCGGAACTGAACAAAGCCAATAAGAGCACAAGGAGATCTGTACCGAAGCTGTGAGCGGCCTTCATTCCCTCGAGCCAAGCTGGGCAGCGCTGGCAGAACGATGTACGACAACAGCAGTAGCTCATGAATGCGGCGAAATAGAAAATGCGGGGGAATCGAACATGCGCATCTGCTACCCATGGAGAATGGAGAACGGGGCATCGGGTCGGGCGGCACACCCGCTGCACGCAGCAGCTTCCCTGTCTCCCGCGCAGCGGTAGTACAGCCGGTGCCACCTCCCCCTTGCCGCGAGGAGTCATACAGGTTGTGCGCTTGCTGGCTGTAGCCCAAAGCATACACGTGAGGCTGCTCATCATCATCCAGGGTCCTCGCCGCGGCCCCTCTCTACTCCATGATGATGCTGCTGCTGCGAAAGCCCTGTCGGATTGCCGTGGCGACGGTGGTCCTTCTTGCGCCAGAAGCAGGCGCCTTCTATACGATGCCACCACCAACCACCACCACCAACAGCGTGACCTCGATGCTCTCAAGACCATCAGCGGCAACCCGGCAGAGGCATCCTATTTCCAGCACCTGCCGCCGGCGCTCATTGGCTCCACTGCGCATGGCGGCATCATCGGATGCTGCTGCTGCTGCTGGGGGTGATGATGATCTACGAGGCAAGGTTGCAGTCGTGACGGGGTCGTCCAGAGGCATCGGGAAGGGGATAGCGGTGACACTCGGACAGCGTGGGTGCACGGTCTACGTTACAGGCCGATCTGTTGGGGGCAATACAACGGACAAGGCAAGTCGCTCTGGCGGGTGTCAAGAAACATGAATACGGGGGCATTCTTCGCATTCGGATCGATTGTTATTGAACTCGTCATGGTCTTCGGGGTAGAAAACAGATCAACATGGGAGCGAGTGCCGTATCGTCCGGGTGTGATAGTTTGATTGTTCATGATACCAAGCCTTATGCGTAAATGTACACTGCAAGACACCACCTTGTTGTAGTATACTTTGACACTGATGCGGCCCACCTGCTGATGCACCACCCACGTACACATGCTATGGTACGACACACATAAGCTTCTCGAAACCAATAGCAGAACAAGTTCGTCCGACGTTTGTTCTGGGCGAACTGCTGTAGTTAGTTGGGCCTCGCACAGCAGACCCATGGTCTAGGAGCACCATCCATCGCACCAAACTCCCGTACCGCTGTCGAGAGCTGCACATCGCATTGCGTCTTACCCCCCACGCCAGCTGTCCCCAAACGCCGTCCCACCAGTCAAGGCAGCGCACCGTTGCCCCAAGTACCCATGCCCGTGTTTACAGAGCTCCTCTGTGGTATGGCCATTTCATGTGAATTTACGGTGGGTCCAAACGTCGGTGCGGCTAAGATTGCCCGGCGTTTTTGGTCGAAAGGGGGGCACACTCCGTGGCTCCGATCTCAAGGATTCTTATATCGAAGGACACGCCAAAGGCAGCTTGGCCGGGGGATAAAGGGCTCCTACCGGATCCTCGTGCGTCAAGCATTGCGTGTTGCGTGCAGGAGACATGTTATTGGTTGGTTGCTACGTAAAAGAAGACTTTGAAAAGGGCGGCTAAGAAAGGTCTTTGGGTTGAACAGCAGTAGTGTAGCGGCGCATGCCGTTAATCTCACACGCGACGAGAGGCTGCGAATCGACACGCACTGCTTGATAGCGTCTTAGAGCAACCACTGGGGAGCACAGCAGTGGAATCCCTATTTTGACATGGCTGCGCCGATTGCCGTTCTGAAGTTCAAAACAGCAGCAAAGATATACTTCTCCAAACTATTTTTGAAAGGTTTGGGGTGTAGCAAGTGCCTTGCGGCAGCAAAAGAGAGATTTGGAGGACGACCCTGAATTTTATGCATGCCGAAACTGTATCACAACTCCCCCATGCAATCGTGCGCTCCCCTAACAAACTTTATCCTATCCGTTTCTCGCGCGCTACAGGAAATAGGGGGAAGCTTGGAGGAGACCGCTGCCGAAATCGAGGCCGCCGGCGGAAAAGGGATCCCTGTTGCATGTGACCACGCTAAAGACGAACAGGTCCGGTACGCAGACACACGTCAACGAACTGTATTTCGTGGAGCGGCCTGGTCCATCGCAAAACGCACACCTTTTGCTCTGCGTCTTGCTTCCGTGGCTGATTACGGTACCTCCAATCGTTTGCTGCCCCAGACACCAGTGGTAGCGGCATCTAGGCCCTCGAGGACATACATAACCCCCTCAGCTCCGAGCGTAGCTAGCACATCGACAGATTCTTGCCGCCGGTTCACCGTCAAGAGCCGTGTGCATCGGGACAACACTCGTTCGGCACGACAGCGTTACTTGGTTAGACCTGGCGCCAAGCAGACCGTCGTCACGAAAAGCGCGGGTTCAGCATGAACGTCTGTGTTTAGTTCTTTCTCGTCCCGATGACGTGCTATGCCGTGTATGATTCCCTCAAGAGTCTCTCGACAGCTTATTCAACCGCTACAGCTTGCTTTGAATCCTCCCGACAGCCTTTTCAACCGCTGTGCAGCTTTGAATCCTCCTCCTGCCGTCGCTCCTTTGCACGTCTGCCTCTGTCAGCGAACCGAAGCGCGCGCTCACTCATATACTTCTTGTGCTAGCATTCCGCCACCTTTGTTGCAACACCTCAATCCTGCGTAACGAACACCATCTAGATTCGTACTGGTCAACGACACACGCCCGCCTCGGTGGAACTCCCCAACGAGACCACAGCAGTATGACGGAAAACCTTCGATTCATGCCTCAAGGATCAAGCACCACGTCAGTTATTCACGGCGTGAGCCGAAGACTGGGATGGGTTACCCACGAAGTATACTAGTCAATACCGTTTTCGACGTGGAACGTTGTGGCCTATCTTCGTGTTGCTCGCTACTGGAGGCGCCACCTAAGAACCTCTTGCCTAAAACCGAGCCTACTTTTCTTATGTCCTCTGTGGGGCAGGTACAGTCGAACCTCGGCTAAGGACACACTTGATGTTTTGCTAAAACAAACTGTCCTTAAGCCGGGGGAGTGTCCTTAAGGTTGATACCCCTCCTTATGTTGTACATTCTGCGAGCCGCCATGCCTGTGACAAAAGAGTTGTCCTTAGCCGAGGGAGTTTCCTTGGTTTTGGTGTCCTTGAGCGAGGCACGGCTGTATCCCAACATCGACTACGATAGTTTTTAGTGTACCTATTCTAAGGTTACGTTTTTTGTAGTTATCTTCGTTATTGTGTAGCCACAGTTCTTAACTCCCAGGTTCTTGTGTGGTGGCTCGTTCCGTACAGGTGAAAGCGTTGTTCGAGAGGGTGGAGTCGGAGCAAGGCAGGCTGGACATCCTCGTAAACAACGCCTTCGCGTTAGGCCCGGGCGATCAACTCCAGGCCAAGTTCTGGACGCAGGGGGTGAGGGGAGCGCGTAGTTTGTTTGTTGATACGCGCGCACGCAGGTGACAGCATTGTCTCTGATTTTTGTCCGGGGCATGCTTTTTTTTTCAAAGGAAAAGTCGAGTTCGCTATTGTTTTTTGTTTGCTGTGGTTCCCACTGCTTCTTTTGTCCTTCGATCCGGAAACAAGCACTGCCTGTGGATGAACGAAGGAAATGTTCACGGTGTCGTCCCAATGGACGTCTCATCATCGAAGGTGGCAGCCTTAAGCACACGCGCAGCACCTGTACTCTGTTGATGGTTGGGGCGCTCTCCCCCCAAGCGCGAAGAACACCCTTCCTTTTGGTTGTCAGGCGTATGAGTAGGGACGCGAAAACATTCCGGGGGTGTCGGTCCGTGATTTCATCGACGGGAGGAGGTCGTTTCTGTTGGACTTGTTGCACTGACCGAAGACTTGGGGCTCCACGAGCGATACTAGCCTCCTTGATGGACGATAACAACATGTGATATGAATGCCAAAGCGCACCATTTGCTGTTCTGGTCGTGCCTCAAATACAAAACCCCAGGCGGACGCGTGGGACTCTCTGATAACCGTGGGTCTTAGGAGCCACTACATGGCCTCGTGCTTCGCGGCGCCCCTCATGATCAAGTCGGTGAAGGATCGGGGCGGAAAGCCGGGCCTGATCGCCTGCGTGAGCTCGTTCGGCGGCCTGGCCTACTCGTAAGCATGGCGACACGGACCGCTTAAATCTTGGGGATGTAGGCTTGTGGATGTTGACGATTGTCCCGTATCGGTTCTCGAAGAGGTGTTGTAGGTTGTCGTCGAAAAGGCATGTCCTAATTTGTTCTTGAGATGGTGCGTGCTCTCTCCGCAGTGCGTCGCGCAAGCAGAACAAACCCTATGCAGCAATGGCCACTGACGTACACAAGCAGGGCACCCGATTGTGCAATCTTATGGTCACAGGTCAAAGGCAAGACTCAAGTGCCGCGTGTGATCCTGTACGTGTCCTGTACAGCTGGACTCTTAATACGAGAGGCTTGGCTCTGAGTACGCAGGAAGAAGATGGGTTGGTGGAAATGCAGTTACTTGATCAGTGGAGACCAGAAAGAATGTAGAGAAACAGAGTGAAACCACAGAGGTCAATCTCTCCAGAAAAGCAGAGGGTTAGTGAACCCCAGGAATGTAGAGGGTTGGAGAACCCCTAAAGCAGCAGAGTGAGAGGATGGGGCGAGTACGCGCTCATCCTCGAAATCATGGAATCACACCTATCCGACAACGTCGACCAATCACACGTGTTCAGAATATGGTACTGGTAAGCTAAGATACGTTTCCGGAAAAGATGGCTTCAACACAATGCATAAAGTCTGTATTGCAAGCACTAATGATTACTTGCACTGACGTACGACAAAACGCAATGTACAGCTTCAACAGCTGAACTACTTTCAAATTCGGCTGCTGAGCGCATACGAATACACATTGATTCAAGCACGCAAGTGTGAGTTACTTGCGGCGGCATATCCTTTCACGCACACAAGTCGGAGATACTTGTGACAACTAGACGATGCATATATTTCCAAGTACGCAAGGCTGAGCTACTTGAACTCCAATACTGGTTTGATTTTTTTCTGGAAATCTAGACTATGCATATTCTGGATATGAAACATATAACATCAACCAACCATGTTTTCTTATTCCGCGTACAAGTATGACAGACCACACGGAATTTTATCTACGACATGACATAGAGACATTGATTGAACTAGTCAAACTGGCGACTTAATGCTGAAGCTACGGTAGTGCCAAATATTCGAATATTCCAACAGTAAAGTGGTCGGATGGCGCGTATGCACGTAGAAGAGCAACATTTTGGGCAGGAGGGAACGAAAAAGGCGTTAACATGTGTTCAGTTTCTCAATATGCGTTCGGTTCCAGAACTGATGCTCTTGCCGTTGTTCGTTCGATGGACTTGTTTCGGTAGAGGCATCTTTCTTTCCTTCAAGGGGTGTTGCGAGAGTCGAACATTCTCAACTTTGTAGACGTTTTCGCGTTTTCGATCCCTTAGCGAGGCTTGAAAACCAACCAACAGAGAGAGAGAGAGAGAGAGAGAGAGAGAGAGAGAGAGAGAGAGGTTCTGTGTTGCCAAAACCATCCGATCGGGACGGGCTGTCGCAGCTCCTATAAATCATGTCGTTCTTGGACACGGCAGGCGAGAGGTAATTTTATGTCGCTTCTTTTGCATTTTTCCTGTTGTTCGGAACCACATTATTTTTTCTTCCCGCTGACGGTGCAATGCTCTAGTGCATGTCTTGGCACGCACGATCCTACCTCCCCCCTCCCCCCTGAGCACACGAAACGAGTTTGCTTGCTCAACTCGAGGTCGGTTTATTGTTTGGTTTCGCATCTTTCTTCTCACGAACCGTATGTACCTTCCTAGGCTTTCCACTTTCCACAAACCAAAATTCCACGATTTTTTCGCTTCGGGAACCAACCAAAATAGGTTCAACGTGGCCTACGGCGTGGGGAAGGCGGGGGTTGACCGTCTGGCGAAGGACATGGCGATAGGTGAGCAAGCGAGAAACTGCCGTCATTTTTCACGTTTTCCTGCGATGGTTTGAGTTCGAGTTTCACGCGCGATGTCGGAGTGAAGGTTTCTGCGGCTCTCTTTTTCGTGAGCCTGTGCGGAGTTTGTGGGGGCTACGGCTCCCTTTGACGGCAAGAGCGACGACGTCGGCAACAACAACAACGACAGCGACAACAGTACTTGGGCAATTTCATGCTCTGCTCTTTCAACACGCACATTTTCAACCTCTCTCGCTCAAAATCGTAGGGAAGAAATTCACCGTTGAAGCGATGTCTACTCACAATCCAACAACAAACCGAATTATTTTTCCACTTTCAATGTATTCATGCCTCTCTCTTTCCCTGCATTCTTGCTTCTCGCCGCACAGAGCTGGAAGAGGAGAAAGTGGCCGTGGTATCCGTGTACCCTGGGATCGTCAAAACAGAGAAGATGAAGAGCTTGATGACGAAGAACCCTGCAGAGTTCGAGGCGAATGTGAGAGACCCAACAGGCCCCGCCGTCACGAATACTCTTATAGTCTTGCAGAACGTCTTCCAGGTCAAAATCGGACCATAATTTTCATGGCCAAGGTCGAGCACAGGTTGTTATATATAATTTTAAGTGTAGGATCCACCGCTGAGCTGTGTTGCTCGTGAAAATTGAGCGTCTGTTTCTTAAACGAAATATTTATTAGCTGCGGGCCAGTGCCGCCGTACCGTGCGGTGCCGTACCGTACCGAAATATATCTAAACTAGGAACCCTCGTAGCTCGTTCGAACAACGGGTTTGCAGCGGGCAACCATGACATGAGTGATTGGTGGTTTGACCGGAGAGTGAGTCTCACGAAGCGTATGAGCTTCCACCATGTAAAGGGGTGGGGGGGTGTGCTCATTGCTTCTTTACGCATGCTGAGACGCTGGACCATTCATCATATAGTAGCGGCACCCGCATCGAACATTCGAATTGCCCTTCAACAGCAGCGGCGGGGGAGGTTGAGAGGGGGGGCACAAATACCCTCCTCGTACATAGTGTTAGACTGCCTGGCATAAGTTCTTGACCGCGTAAACATCGGTGATTCCTTTTTTTTTTTTTCGTGCGACAGACAGGAATCGCGTTGAGCTCTCCGATGGAGACACCTTTCTTCACGGGCCGGGCGGTGGCGGCGCTCGCGGCAGATCCCGAGATCCTAAAGAAGACTGGCAAGGTACGGAATAAGTTGTCGTTGATAGCACGTAAACCAACAAGGTTCTGATGACGGTGTTTTTCTGTTGGTTCCAGTGCACGTGCGTGCGTGCAGGATATATCTTGTCAGTCGTCGCATGTAGAGTAAGCTCGTCGGGGCAAGGTGCGGCATATGTACTGTTGATGGCACGTAAACCAAACACGGTTCTGATGACTGTGTTGTTCTTTTCGGCCCGAGCGCACGTACGTGCAGATTTTGTAAAAGTCGCCGCATGTAGAATAAGCTCGTCGGGGCAAGGTGCGGCATATGTGCCGTTGATGGCATCGTCCGTCCACTTTTCCATCGAGAACTAGTCTAGACTTCTGCAACATTTTCTTGTCCTTTCCTGACTCTTGCTTTGATTTTCTCTCTCTCTCTCTCTTGTAACGCTGTCCAAACCAACCAACCCAGGTGCAAATCGTGGCCGAGCTAGCCAAGCAGTACGGCTTCACGGACGTCGGAGGAGACACGCCGCCCTCCATCCGATCTCTCCGTTTCCTGCTCCCGACCTACCTCTTCCCCAAGATTTTGCCGGAGGGTACGAAAATCGACACCAGTTCCGTGCCTGATTGGTTGCTTCCGATGTTCATCATGGCCAACGGCAAGCCCCCTTCGTGATACTGCTTTCTCCTTATGTGGGCTATTCCCGCGAGAGTTCGAATCTCTTCCTTGACGCCAATGTCAAAAAGAGCGTACAGTATCGTCTTCGACGGACTTTGAGAGATTGTACCCCTACGAAAGGATCTCCACTTTTTCTTTTTTTTTGTAAATCTCTGCTGGGTTTTACCATTTGTACGAGAAATGTCGTCGGCCACACCGACGAACTCCTGCACATCGGTCGCGTGGAGTTGCACGTGTAGAGAAAAAAAACAGGAACATTCTTTTGTAAAAAACCCAGCTGAACCCGTGTACCAATAAGAGAGTTCTGCTCGTTCGTGAAGCCTTCACCGAAAATCGTACTTGAACTTGTGGGTCTTGAGCTGGCTTGGTGAACATACATATGTAGGGAAACAGCTCAAGGTGCCCACAAGGTTTAGAGATGTTTGTCGCGTCGTGAAAGCTTCGCCGGATTCTCCTGCTTGCTGGGCAATAAACCCAGGGACAAGTAAAAGGTGCACCTTGTACTCATGTGGCGTTGGCCGGGGGAGAGCGGAGGAACTTCCAAAGAGGTGCTGTAGAGGGGTGATTTGAGAAAATCGAGTGTATCGAGAATAAGATTTAGATATTTGATAAAGGACAGGTACAGCGGTGGTAGACATATCGCGTAGCACTACATCGTAACAGCACCACAGGGTGGTTTGTAGTGGATAGCAGCGGCATGGAAACAGAGAGAACGGCAAACGCGACTCGACAAGTCACACACCTGGGACCCCTTCCCCTGTGTTCGACGTGGACAACAACAGTGAAACGTTCTTGAAACGTTGGTGTCGACTGAAAAAGACGCACGAATTCCACGGTGACCCCCGGACTAAAACAATACACTGGTGTGTTTTTGTGGAGAAGAGCATCCCAAAACACTATGCGTAGGTCCGGCTACGACTGCTTGCAGCAGTGGAAGATGAATGGAGAGGACGTTCGGGCCCCGGAATCAGTTGCGGATTTTTCGCGCCGCAGCTGCAGCCTTCGATTACAAGTCCCGACAGCACGACTTCGTGCGTTTCGCACTTCATTTACGACCTGACCACAAGCAAAACGTGCCGAGTCCCCCTACTCCACCCCAACTGTCTGAGGATTTATTCTCTCTGTCCCTTTCACAGCAGTATCGCCTTTGCTCGGCTGGGCTGAACGGGTCTGTTTCGTCGGATCTAGACGTCGGCAGCCTTGAAGCGAAGGCGGAGACAGCAGCAGCATACCCACTCTTGTTGGAGACGACGACGATAAGAATGGCGATTTCCGCGCCGCGAGGTCCACGCGCGTCGAGAAGCGTTACCCTACCCTTTCTCGAGCGCGGTATCCAGATTTGGTGTCTAGGTTTATGCATTATAGCTCCAATTGATTACTTTTAGCGATGTGTCCTGTATACTGTAGTCTAGCAATCAATATTCTATCTCCTCGCAGACAAAGCACCTCATGGAAACACTGTGAACTGACTCCCACCTGACCCGAGACTAGACTAGTCTATTTGCATGCGTACCTACCTCCGCCCAAAAACCTACGCTGCTGCCTCGCTGACTTGTAAACATCGATGTAATCGCACCGCCTAAAGGTCGAACCCTACCAGGCTGGGTAGAATCAACACAACCACGCTTCATTCCGATGTCGCCAACGGCAAAGCTGCTACCAAAACGTAACCCCAACTAACTAAACGACGACTTGCCACAGTAGCGGGTACCCTCAACGGAAGGGAATGAAGCCCGTCTGATCGACACCCGTCTGATGCTGCTCTTTTGCACGGCGGCAGAAGAAGTCGTCGCTATCAAGGTACTTCGTATCACTTAATTAACTGAGTTGCTATTTGGACGTACTGGTCCGTCCGTCTTTCTCTCGCAGAACGCATCAACACGCCTCGGTTCAAAGGGCCCACGAATGGGGAGGAGAGGGACAAACTCTGCGGAGACCGGGTACCAAACTCATTGATTGTTCCTCCTTCAGACTGGGGCAACAACACAAACAACCCCATCACTATTAGTCTACACCCACACCCGTACATGCCTAAATCAATCCATAACAGCGCGAAATCAGGTTCGTTCGCAGAAAAGCGGACGAGGCCTGATGGCCCAGCTCGCTGCGCGTCGTGGCAGTACCTGCCGCTATTAATAGCTGCGCGTCTATCGAACCACAACAAGAGGTTAAAAGTCGTCTGGATGGCCCAAAGAACCCAACACCGCTATCTACCGCTGCTGTGCTTCCAAGGGGCGGAGCCATAGCTCCGTCAGACGCAATCCGCTCCGGCTGTTGCTGTTCCCAAACCACCCACCACTACCCTCCACGGTCTGCGAGGCCCCTACCCCAAGCCGTGGATACCCCCGGAACCAGTCCGACGAAATCCGCTCCGGCTGTTCCCGAACAGCCCTCCACCTCACCACTAACTACCCTCTACGGTCTGCGAGGCCCCTACCTCAGCTGTGGACCCCGCCTGAAACTATTCAACCAAGAGCGACTACATCCTGAATGATACCCCGGGGACGATCATGTTTTGTCCCCGGGGTCACGTCCGTAAAAGAAGACCCCGAGGTCACGAATGAACGCCCACTCGAAAGGGCCACATCAAAAAAAGCCCTCCGTGTTTACTTAGGCGAGGATGGTCTGGATGGCGCGGGGCCCGATGATCGCCCTGACCGAGAACCCCTCCGAAGGGAAGGAGAGGTCGAACTCCACCGGTTCCTCCGCCTCGTTGAGCAGGACCACCGCGTAGTCCTTGCCGTAGCGGTCCTTGGAGGCGTCGCTCATCTCGAAGGCGGCCCCGGTGAAGAAGGGCCACCCGGCGGTCATGCACCGGCCGGTGGCGGCGGACACCAGGCTCCCCCCTCCCCCGTCGCCGGATTTCGCCTGCGTTTTCGTCGTTCGTTATTTAGGCCATTGGGGGGGGGGGGTGCTCATAGTCGTGCATGCCGTAGTCGTTAGACCATTGACCTCGGATGCCGCAGTCGCTAGGCCGTTGGGGGGCAAAGAAGTGCAGCTTGTTGGAGCTCAAAGCAGGGGGTTGCTTGAAAGGTGCTGTGTGCATTTTCGAGAGGCTGGAATGCAAGCATATGTTTGGCTTGAACAACAGCAGTGATACAACGCGGAAAAAACAAGTGGAGAAAAATCGAAGAGAGTTGGAGGGCAACCATGACGTCATGCATGTTTCGCCCACAGTACCCGGTGGATACAAAGGATCGCCTCTCCTCCTGTAATCGTGTTTGTAACCACCACCGGTTTCAACACGCCTAACCACCGGTTTCAACAAAACGACTTGGGCGAAAATAGAACAAAAACAATCAATAAAGTGAAACTCTCGTTATCGCGCTCGACAACAACAATCAATACCTAGAGCAACAAACAACAACGACAACAACAACAAGAGCCGCATACCTCAGCAAATTCCCATCGCTGACCGCTGCTAGTGTCCTCTGATGTGGATTCCAGATCGCACGGGTTAAGGGTTAGCACCACCCCGTCATCGGTAGACCCGTCGAGCACATCCAGGCAGACTGACTCCGTCGATCCTGAAACTGACACCCACGCAAAAAGCGCATGAGAGGGTTGGTCGTTTTGACGTGCACTGAATGAAAAAATCAATTCCAACGTTGTTTTACTTCGACGAGAAGACCGAGGAGGTTATAAACGGTAGGTAGATGTCCTGCGCCTACGTGTGGGTGACAGTCTATTTGCAGCAGCAGCATGAAAAACAACGAGTACAGCAGGATGAAACTAGACTATTCTCCGGGGGCTTTGCCACCCGATCCCCACACCATCTCGCTCTCTCACGCAGTTTTGCTACCTGCCTCTACACTAGTCTTGCGAGAACTACAACCCACATAGATCAATCAATCTCTCTCGCGGGGGGTGCCTTCAATTGTTACTCTTTACGCCAAGAAAACAAAACCGACGCCACGTGAATCCTATTTAGTCACGAACCACATCACATCACGGCGAACCACATCACGGTGGGCTAGGTTGATGTAGACTTGTAGAAGATGTTTCTCGAAAAAGGAAACGCGCAAGGACAACAGGCCAAGATGGTTTTCAATCACCATACAGAACACCGCCCTCCGCACCACCAGCACCAGCATCAGCACCAGACCCTCACTTCAACCAGCAGCACCAACATAACATAACACGACACAAGAAACAACCACGACAACAGCAACAGCAACAGCAACAGCAACAGCAACAACGTCACCAGCACCAGAGCTTCATCTCAAGCACCAACACCACCACCCACAACAACAGAACAGCAAATACCGAAAACAACAACAACAACAACAACAACAACAACAACAGTGTCACGAACCCCAACCTAACCACCGAAAGCTTAGCCCTCTCACCTACGGGATCCTCGGCGTCGGCCACGGTTTGGGGGTCCGCGTCGGGGGGGGAGGAGGCGTCGGCCTGCAGGGCGATGCGGCCGCTGTCTTGGTCATAGACGAACGTGCCGGCTTGGTCGGAGTCGCAGGGCACCAAGTTAACGGACTTGAAGGATTCCTGAGTTAGACGGAGGGTCGCGATGGACAGGAAACGGTGGTACCCGTGTGTGTGTGTGTGTGTGTGTGTGTGTGTGTTTGTCAACAGTCCGTAGACTTCGCATCCCTACAATAATGCCGGGGTGACGGAGCAATATGACGGGTTTTCGCCGGTCCATAAGGACGAACCAGAAGCCGGCCATCATCCCGTTGGCTGTGCCAAACCAGATGTGCCATGGGTTGATTGGGCATCCCAGCTAACCAAAAGCTTCACACTGGGCAGGCAAGACTGCATATAGGTTGGGGGGCGGGCTGTACTCATAGCCGTGCATGCCGTAGCCGTTAGACCATTGACGTCGCATCCCTACAAAGCTGGGACGGACCACACCACCAAGATTGGGGGGGCGGGCTGGGGGGGGTGTTACTCTTCATGAGACCGAGACGGAGTGCTCATTGTCAGAGGATAGGGAGGGGGGTAGGGGACAAGAGCAAGAAAAGAGGTCACGGCGAGGGAATGTGTAGGTTGGTTCGTGTGGCCGGTAGTTCTAGGGGAGAGGGGTCGGTCGTCTTCTCCGTGAACTGCTGTTTATGATGGCTAGAGGATGTTTCCCAGGTTTGTGGGGGGAAGTGTATGTGTAGGTTGGGAGAGAAGCATACCAACAACGATAACGACAACGTGAAGATCAACAATCACGCAACTGCCGCCGCCGCTACCACAATACGATCAACAACAACAAAACACGACACCACGACATCAACTACAGCGAGACATCTCCGAAGCGAAAGACAGGCGAGAGACAGCTAGCTCACCGAAATGTCTTTCGACAGGCACAAGGGCTGGAACCAGTCGTACTGGGCACCGAAGTTGTCCGCCAGGGATATCCTGCCCGTCGCCGACATCTCCCAGCTCTGGCGCACGCTGCCCTCGCACCCGTACAGGGTGGCCTCGTAGCCTAGTCAAGGAGCACAAAGGCACATGCACAAAAGCCATGGCAAGACGAAACACGTCTCTCAAGCGTCTCCAAAAGTCATTCAAGCGTCTCCAAAGGTCATTCAACCGTTTCCAAATCCATTCAAGCGTCTCTAGAACATCGCCCAAGCGCAGGATGGCGATAGCCTGGTATGTGTGAAAGGGGTTTCACGAAACGTGCATCCCAGGCGAAGAACATGGACGTGAAGTACAGCGGCAAGGGTTGTTGAACGGCAACAAAAAATAACCGGGACTATTGTTCCCCATCGGGTCGCCACCTCACACGGCACGCACACTAGAACCAAAACAAAAATCAACACCCTTTCGTTGAAGTCAGTGCTCACTTTACATATGCGTGAAGCCCACAGGCTGAATATGTAAACGTTTCGAAAGCAGAAAAAAACGATCCGCAACAAGACAAGCACTGTTTCGATAGTTGATTAAAACTTAAAACAATCCACAATGAGTCAATCACCCTACAACAACAGCAGCGAGCAGCGCCCAACAGAAGTGCTATGGTCCCTTACCGGCCAAGGCTGTGGAAGGCCCGCTCCCACCGTTCTGGTACAGCCCCGTTACGTGACTCTTGAGCCGCCTCGCTCCGGGCTGGGCAAACTTCGACATGTGGCCGATGGAGTAGAACATCGGCTGGAAGATGACGTCCGTGTGGTTCTGCAGAGGGGGAGGAAACATACGCGGCGGCGGCGGCGGCGAACGAAAAAGGAGAGGAAGTCGGTGTAACGACCCCAAAAATGTTGAAACAGCACTGGTTATTGTCTAGAGTCCCAAGCGCTGTTTTTTGTCGGCGCGCTGCTGTACATGCAGTAGACGCAAACACACCCCCAAGTGCTTCATAGAAATACTTCGTACCATCGTATACCAGAAACGGGTTGGGTCAAGAGCAGGTTCTCTCGGTCTTTTTTATTAGTACTAGTATTCTTCTTGCCGTTGTTGATGCCACTTATGTCAAGTACTTCGTATTTGGATAGGGCCAGAGGCCATCGCCGTGGGCATGCCGCAGCACCGAAGGTTGAGAAAACAGCGGCCACATGTCTGTGAGCGCTAACGAGAAAGAATGTCTTGCAAAGGCATTCCTGCGGTGCGACCCCGGCTGGTGCGTCCAGAAAGGTAACTAGTTGTACCGAACGGTGACTAATTATACCGAAGTATGAGAAGTTGTGCCGAAAGGTGACAGGTGACCAATTTCACCGAAAGGTTGAGTGACGGACGCCCAAAACAAATGGGATGACCAACAACAAACAAGCACAAATAGGGCGCCCTAACGGGCACCTCCTGAGCTGATCGGGTGGGACGGCCATTGTTGAATCTGCCGGCTTTTCAGGGTCTCTTTCAGGGCTGTTTGTGGGTCAGGCCTACGAGACAGCAGTGATCACAGAGTGGCCTTATTCTTCCAGTGACTTTTGGGGGGAAGGCGGGGTCCGCAGCTGGCAACTTGCCCGTGCCGGCACCACGTCAATTTGATTGACTCCCTCCGTCCACACTTTGCTGTTGTCTTCACACTAAAAAATCGATCGGGTCTCAACTCAGTACCTGCCGACATCCGTACTGGTCCAAATGACGCGGATGACTTCCGTAGGTCACAGGCCAACTACCCACGGAAGGGTACCCACACAATCATACCGCGGGGGTTTTCGGCCATGAAAATGCGGTACGCATGGTGGTCGTCAGAATCACTTCGTTGCCGATGTCGGGGATGCCACACAGGATACCAGCGTACCACGGGATTTTCGGCCATGAAAAGCGGTATATACGTTAGAATCACCTCGTTGCTGACGATGGGAGTGTCGCACAGGTTGCCAGCGTGGTTCGGTCCACCGTCATAACTGAGCATCAGGTTCCAGTCCACCCTGAGAAACGGTTCACAGAATCCATGCCGATCGGCAAGCGCAGCACCATTGGGCGGCAAGATCGGCACGCACAGGTGTCGGCGAGAGAGTCGAGACGCAAGTGTGTATTAGTCCTTAGTAGTTGTACGTGACGTTAGACGAGTGCACGCGAGGGAAACGAAAAGGTGGGCTGCGTGAAACTGGAGTAGTTGGCGTCCGCTGAGCAACAAGACGACAGGGTAACGGCTACATGGTATAACAGAAGAGAGAGAGAGAGAGAGAGAGAGAGAGATCCAAAATCGAAAGAGAAGCACGCCTTGATGCAAGATACGTCCCAAACGGCAGAAGCTAGAAGAACAACCGATATCCGGAAGATAGATCACTGCTGCTGTGGAAAAAACAAAACAAACAATAGTCTTAGATAGCTCGACGTGTGCGCACTGCTGTATTACGGTACCCTTTTTCGCAGACAGCAAAGTGTTGACATTGAGTGTAAAAGGAAAAAGACACAACGATGCCATTTTACATGCGCTGGTAGATACCTTAAAGCGTAGAGTATCACGTACCTCGCTTCTCAACTAGCACAAACCCGTGGCGAATACTGCGTGTGGACGAGCTTTCATACAAATCGACCACCGCGTAGGACTACCTTACCGTTTCAGCACAAACGCATGCTGCTGTCGTTATTGTTGTCATCTTCATGCACAAAAAAACATGCTGATCTCTGCTCAGTATACCTTTCAAGAACAGCACCCGTTACTAACTATATCGCGACGGCTTTCACGAGAACCAACAAAAAACAAAAAACAAGAAAAAAGAAATCTAACCATCCAGTGGACCAGCTGTTGACGTCGGCGATCATTTCGTGCAGCGTGTGTTCTGCCCTCTTCCAGCCCCCCTCCAGGGAGTGGTCCACGTTGGGGCAGTTGCAGCTCTCCGTCGAGAGGATGAACTTGTCTCTTCCGCTCAGCAGGTTGTGGGTCCTGCGACGAAGAGGCGTGGTGGGTCCGCAACAACAACAACCCAGGCGTATCTCTTGTGCCTACCCCACCGTGCGAAGGGGCTTGGATCTGGGTCAGGGTCTCGACCTGCAAGTGTGTCGGCAGGTGGTGCAATTCGACCTCCTCCCTCCCAGTACACTTCTCCGTTACTCCGAACGTTATCCCCACCTTGACCGGTGTCGTGAGCAATCCCCCCCCCCCCCCCTCCCCCCTCATTGATGAATGTCGTGTCACGTCACCCCCTTATTTCTCAGCATTGTGTCACCCCCCCGCCAGCGCCGGCGAAAGCCCGGCATGACTCTCACGGCATTGTAGTGATGCGAGATCAACGGTCCAACGACCACGGCGATCGGTTACATGATAGCACCCCACACACACACACAATTCTCACGTGTTGAGAGCGCCCCAGCCCATGCTGCCGTCCAGCAGCCTGTTCCACGAAGCCACGTACCAGTGGAAGGCCATGCCGTCGACGTACTGAGCCGTCTCTTCGTTGCTCATCATCTCCTCCGCCCACGTTACCACTGGCGATGAGAGAGAAGGAGAGAGAAAAGGAGGAAAAAGAAAATGCTTGGATGATCTGGCGGATCTATTGTTTAAGAACAGCTACAGTCATATGCAGTAGTGGTCTCGATATATGGCAGTATAGTAGTAACAAGACAAAAACACCCCGGTATATCGGGACCCGCGCTACCGGGGGAAGGTCCCTGCATAGAAATGTAGGTTGGTGTGCCAAGGGAGTGTTACCGCGATTCATCGGGATCCGCGCTATTCGGGACCGCGATGTATCGGGACCACTTCTGTACCGTACCTGAGCGAAAAAGAGAGAATGAAACACACACACACACTTCAAGCAAAAAGTGTTCTTCTATAACGATCTGGTGGAAAGTTAAGTGACGCATCCAATTCATCGAGGTACAGTATGCGGACCACCGTGTCATTCTTTACAGCAGCAGCGATCCGACGGTGTCATGTCGCACACGCTTTCGACGTACGTACCACTGTACAACACACACACGCGCGAACAGCGAGCAACAGCACCACAAGGAAAGCGCGGGCCAACTTCCCCCTTTCCCAGTCCCAACCGTCACTCATCCTTCTGTCCTTCCCCCCCTCACTTTCACTTTCACCCCCCCCAACCCCTCCCCCGGCCTCTTCCCTCTGCCATCTGCGTCATCCCCTTAGCCTCCTCCCATACCCTTCGGGTCCATTTCATTTTTTTGGGTTGGGTATGTTGGCCTGTGACCACGGGAATCGACCGCGAAAGTCAAGCGTTAGACTAGTAGGGACAGATGGAGGTACTGGGTAGATATAAAGATCGGAACGGTGTCTGATGTGAAGACAGCAACAACAACAACAACAACTCTTCTGGTTCACGCCAACTCACGGTGGTCTCTGTTGTGGTCGAAGGCCATGATCTTCACGTCCGGGTGGTCCCTCCGGATGACGGGACCGAGGTGGTCGCGGATGAATTTAGCCTGGAAACGGGAGGGGGGGGGGGGGGGACCCTGAGTCAGACGCGGTACATCCAACGAGGGTTACATATTACACATGATATCATTTGAAGGTGCATCTCTTGACTCCCCCCTCCCCTCCAGGGCGCCGATATACAAACGGGTTGCGATGAATCTACAGTACACCGCCATACCGGTATTTCGTGATTTTATCTTTGGTCGCTCTTCAAAGAGTCTTCAAAGAGAGAAAACACACACACACGAGCACCAGCAACAACAGCACGAGGTGCTAACGCATACTGACGACGTGATGTAGCATGAGTGATATGTCTCCACAAACTTTTTTCATTCAGCTGGTTGGCACGAGAGGTTACGCTGTAAGAGAAAATCCTCTTTAAAAGATGTTCACGGTTCAAGAGAATATTATCCAAAACCGTGTTGGCTACGGTTTGAGAGAAAATTATCTTACACCGTACTATAGCAAAGACGGTGTACGAGAAAGCCGGATTTAAGAGATGGAAATTGGCGTGGCACGACCCTCTCATCCTTAATCCTGTCCTTACCTGAGATGAGGGCGTGTACACGCAAGCCTCCCACGGACCCGGGTTCTCAGACTCATTCTGGATCGTCAGCCCCCACAAATCCACCCCCTGCCGCCGACAGCACGGCACAGCGACAGCACAGCACGACACCAGACACCGATTTAGTTGGACATATTGTGCGCATTTGATCCATCCTCCCCGGGTGGTATATGATTGCTGCTTTTGTCTTGGGTTCGATATAGGAGAATTCATGGTTGCTGGTTAAATAATACCAAGAAGGAATCGGACTCGCTCCTGATACTTGTACGGCGTCGGGGGTTTTCATAGAAGCGTTGATGATGGAGGCGTGCTTCGCGATGACACTGTAGCTTTCCACGAGGGGTTGCAGCGTCCAGGCTGGGCCCATGACTGCTGCGGTGGAATCGATTCGATCCACTGCTGTTGCGCCACGACACAAACACAACAGCACCCGGCTTCGCCTACGAACCTCTTTCCGCCAGGGGCCCCCCATGGAGGGGTATAGGGGGGGGGGGGGGTCGGGGTTCGGTCGGCGACAAAGAAAGTGCTGGTGGTTCGTCCAGTCATACCTGCGTGTGAAACGCCTTAGTGCCTAAATAAATGGCGGGACGGGGGGGAAAACAAAGGGGTTGGAGTTTTTGTCGCTCCCCCCCCCCCCCCTGCAAGTACGCAATACTGTATGCTACACGATAGACACATCTCCAGCAAAAAAAGCTCTCCTGTGCGTGGGGCGAAAACAACGCGGCGAAAGGAGCACCTACGCGCAGCGACCAGACGATTGGGTTTACCCTCGCTGCGCACAAAACTGCCCACCAGGAAAATTTACCACGTAAACACCCTTGAACAGCAACGACAACGACAACCACAACCACAACAAACACTCCACAGACGGTACCTGTTCCTTGTAGGCCGATATAAAGCGGCTGAAGAAGAGTGCCCACGCAGCGTGCACCCCGGGGTCCGCCAGCAGTCCCTGCGGCAGAGCGCTCTCGATCATGCTCTGAACTCCGTCTTTCGGCTCCTGCTCTCTCACGGCGGAGAGACAACCACAAACAGCGACAACGAATGGGTTAACAACATCAGCACCAACAGCAACAGAAAACAACAACATCATCAGCAGCAGCCGCAGCAACGACAACAAGAGCGGACGGATGGCATCGTAGCAGCAGCAGCAGCAACATCACTATCATCATCAACAGCAGCAGTATCTGCAACGGTAGCAATAACAGCAGCAGCAGCAGCAGCAGCAGCAGCAAGAACAACAACATCAGCAGCAGCAACAGCAGCAGCAGTAACAACAGCAACAACGCATGGACAACAACATCATCACCATCATCGTCACCAGCTCTGATCTGAAGACAAAAAAAAACAAGAGCAATAACGACCGCAGCAGCAACAAAGCACCATCAACAACGGGCTACGCAGTTCTTTCGAGAACGAACACACCTTCATCCATGCGGGAGGGCTCCACGGAGACGTGAAGAGCTTCAGGTCCTCCCGGCGCGCGAGGGCCGAGAGGAGCATCGGGATCTGGCGGGGAAAGAAAAAATATGAAAAAAAATAATATACAAAGGTGTACCGCTGTTCTACAAAGGTGTAGCCCTTTTGGGGTAGGTGGCCTGTGACCACAGAAGGCGTCCGTGTCGGCTGGACCAGTACGGACATCAGAAGGTGCTGAGGGGAGACCGGAACGGCTTTTGAATGTGAAGACAACACTAACAATACACCGGTTGGACTATTACAGATTCTAGCACGGGCTGTGAACGTGAAGACAACAACAACAACAACAGCAGCAGCAGCAGCAGCAGCGGCAGCGACGGAACAGCAGCCCCCCCACCCCCCATTCTATTCTTCGGAGCCCCCTTACCCTCTGAGCGGTGTCCTTCTCCACGCCATCATCGAAGTGCGTGAGGTTGTAGTCTCCCGGCACTTCGTCGAAGCTGTACTGCTCCACGCTGAAGTCGCAGCTGCCCATGGGGATGCGGCCAACGCTGTACTCGATGCCGTTGGGTCCGAAGTATGCGTCCAACACCTGCCGGTTAGACAAACATTGCATCATCATCATCATCATCATCATCATCATCATGATCATCAACCATCATCAAGAGCGCGAGAAAGATCAAGAATGTAGATGCTAAATCTACCACTTCCAAGAGAACGGGAAGAAGTGACGTCATCATCGGAAGGAGTTCCGTCATCAGCCGTCTACCATCCCCTTCTTGTTTGCGCTGATGGGTGCGAGGAAAGAACTAATTCAAGTCTAGATGCTATTAATTCAAGTCTAGATGCTAAATCTACCAATTTCAAGCGTCGGAAAGGGGCGACGTCCTCATCGGAAGGAGTTGTCGTCATCCATTCTACCATCTTAAAAAAAAAAACACATTTTATGCATGAAACATACAATCACGAAAGAACACCCGTTGGAAGTGTACTTCAATCGAGGTGAGTGTCGTCTTCACAATTGAGTGTAGAGAAGAAGCTGCCGGATTGCTTCACACAACTTCTTATTGTTATAGTTTGCGTTTTCATGAGCGCGAGATAGCACAACACCACCGCTGCAGGCAGCCAAAACCAAGCAGCAGCAGCAGCAGCAGCAGCAGCGGAGGCACCCCATCACCTGCTCCTGAACATCCTCCGGCAGCTTGAAGAAGTTTATCGTGGCGGCGTCGGTGAAAGCTCCCCCGAATCCGATAATCTCCTGCAGCTTGTCGTCCGACTCCACCACCACCGTCCCAGACACGCCCCTCTCTGCGCAGACCGCTATGACCTCCTCCTCCTCGCTGTCGCTGCTCCCACTGCTGTCATCGTCGGATGAGCTGCTGCTGCTGCTGCTGCTGCTGCTGCTGCTGCTGCTGCTGCGGCATTCCTGGAAGGTTGGGGGTTAAGTCACGGTAAGGGGGGAGCATCATCGTGCAGGCTTGTTTGGATCATCGGAGAATGGTGATCCATTTCTTCAAAACGTGCTAACAACGCTAACAAATACTACATTATTCCTTTTATCCATGTGGAAATTTGAGCAAGAAAATAATAAATTTATCGTCCAATTCCCATGTTTCATGGTAAAAGGAACAATGAAAAAGGAATGTACATGTATTGTTCGAGTGAGCGAGGTCATTGCAATAGCATTCTCGGCCCGACTAGATATAGTACATTCCTGGTAAGGTAAGGAGGTATATCGAGACACCACCATCGCAAGACAGAACCAAGACATGATCACAAGACACAAGACACGGGTGTTTCGGAAAAACTCATAATAGTTTGTACTGTTTTCTCCTTGGAAGACACAACCGAAAAAAATGTTTGCGTTATATTGGCTCACGCCCTCGTTATTCGCCTTTGGCGAAACACGGCATCTGTGTCAGTTGGACCGGTACGGATACCAGACGAGTACTGACCAGATACCGGAACGGTTTGTAAAGTGAAGAGAACAAGAACAAGAACAAGAACAAGAACAAGAACAACGATGACGATGACGACGGCGATGACGATGATGACGGACAAAGGTTTGGATAAAGAATAGGTCGGTGCGCGACATACTGCTGTACGACACCGTACGGCGTGGCACGGGACGACGACGATAGCGTTTCAGTGCTACAAAATGTCTCTCCGTAGAGCATGCCTTCCTCGTGTACAGAAGTACAATAGTCGACAAAATATTCGAATGCTACTCCTTGGGGGTTCATTTCACGATAACAAGAGGGGGCGACACAATCAAATGACACGCTTTCGGAAAGAAACTATCGACGAGACAGCATTTCCATCGCCGCCAGTTCCGGCACCATCACTGGCCTGCTGCAGAGTACTTGAGGTTTGAAAACTGGGTCCAGGGGGGTGGTATCAAACGCGATCTACGGGTACCACACCCCCTGGACCGATTGTCAAAGCTCGATTACTCCACGGCGAAGAAGATGCCGAAATATAATTATACGTTTTCGGAAAGCTCTCGACGAGACGGTTGCAACGCCGCATCCATTTTTGGCACCGTCACCTGCTTTTCCTGCCGAGATATCGAGCTTCGAAAATCGGTCCAGGGAGTGTGATATCTTGCACAGCCTACGGTACAAAACTACTACTTGCTGAATTCGACGACTGACCTGTTTCAAGCTCGCCGGGGCAGGGAAGCCCTGGTCAAGCCTTGTCCCATCGTGAAAGGAGCTCTCGAACACCGACACCCCAGCAACCGAGTGCTGGCTTTCAAAGCTGGCGGGCGAGCCAGCTTCCGGCTCCGGCCGCAGCCGTCGACCCCCACCCCCCGACGTGATCAAAAGAACCCCGAGAACGCCGAGAACTCCGAGAGGTACGGCAACGGCGAGCCTCCTGCTGGGAGCGTTGGCAGGTGTTGCGTAGCGAGGTCAGTTCAGTCCTCAATCATGGAGAAGCCGTGTGTTAACCAAGGGTCTTACATCTTTGAGGTTAGGAACCTAAACTAGCACGAGGGCTCCTCAGAGACCGAACAAACTCCCTCGATTGGACTTTGATTGGACGAGGGTTCCATAGCGACGGCGGTGGCGGTGGTTGAATTGGGTTTGGGACAGCAGGGAAACGGAGACACGGATGGCGGTCTGTCGGGGAGTAAACAGTTGGAATAGTCGACTCTCCCCCGGCGATCTCTTGCAAGGGGTGACAGGTACTGATCGCACGAAAATAACACCCACGGAAGGAGTCCGCGTCAGTTGGACCAGAGTACGGACATTAGAAGGCACTGAGCGGAAACCGGAACGGTTTTTGATGCGAACACAACAACAACAACAACAACCAACAACAACAACCAACAACAACAACCAACAACAGGCGGCTTGGCACCGGTCAGTTCTGTGCTTGGCACCGGTGTGGAAGGAGCAAAGCATAGCGGAGCATGGTGTCCTCGTACGCCTATCCTTACATTGTACTATAATACCCAGTGGGGCCCAGCAACACGACATCTTTTAGTGAGTTATCACAGCCCGGTGTATCCCGAGTGAAACGTCTGTGTAAACAGCGTTGGAGATTCACACCTCCCTGCGGTGTTCTCGAGTTCGACCTCTCATATGGTAGGAGTATCATATGCATGTGTGCATATGCATACTGCTGTATCCACAAGAGCAGAGTTTTGTAGCGGTGGTTGAATCACAAATGGTTGACTTGAGCAGTCTGCACCCAGCTCTGGTGCTGTCCAACTTCAATCTGGACTACCTGACTCAAGAGCGCCCCCGCGACGAAACTCCCGCGGGCGGCAACGGAAAAGAGCGACGAGGCCGTGGCGACCCCCCCCCCAACGGCGAGCTCATGCCGCCTGCGCGACCGTTCTCTCCTGCACAACTCGACAGCAGTCCGCTGAAATTGCACCGCTGATCGATGTGAAAAATGGTCCCGAACAGCGACCTCTCACCTGTTACGGGTCTCACCGCCTTGTCCCTCTGCCGCAGAGCCGCTGCTGCTGCGGAGGGGGGTACGCACGTTGCCCTCCTCGCGCGCGCCCTGCGATCCATCCGGGCGACAGCAGCAGCAACAGCAAGTTGGCAAGAACAATGAACACGTTGCAGCAGGCGGGCAGCCTGCGGTCATGAATGGGTCGATTCTCAATAGAACAACACAAGCCTTACTCTGTGCATGCGTTGTTCGAGTTTCGCGAGCGACTTGACATCAGGAGGGCACCTGTGCATCCGACTCCCCTGGTGAAGCGCCCTCCGGGATCCTGTTGTAGCCCCGCATGGTGCTGTGGGGTGGGCTCGGCGTGGGTATCTATCCGTGCTATTGTCGTTCCGACACCAGCTCTTGTACGCACATGGCAAAAATGCGGCGGAATTAATGGATTACATTTTTTTTTTTTCTCGTCGTCTCTCATCCCGCTAGTACTTCAGCAACAAACGGGAGAGGACCACCACCTTGTCTAGACTCATTAACATTGGCGCTGCCTTCGAAGGACCGCCCCTCCGAGATGCGACCCGGAGGAACACCTTGAAAGTCTTGACACTGAGGAGGAATAGTTTTGTTGTTGTAGGTGTTTTGGCCGTGCTGAAAGGTGGCATTTCCGCGCACTATGCTGTTGTGTGTGTGAAGTGTAAAGTGTGAAAAACCCTTCGAATGGTACACTGGTCGATCGGATGCCCTACAGCAGAAGTGATGTAGTACCTGGATCTGGGAGAGAGAACATTTCATGAGATATCGTAGTCTACAGAATATGCCGACGAGAGAGAGATCACGTTTGAGGCACCCCCCCAAAATGAGGGATGGGGCGTTCTGCACCGATAAAGCAAAGAATGGATCAGAGGAGATAATAGGAGGTACAAAAAAAAAAGGAAGCGCAGCGCTCGCAAACACAAGCAAGCTTGCACATGTGGACATGTCCGCAGAAAAAACATGTGAATCTCAAACAGCACGACGCTTATGCATACATGTGTGCTTCTTGTTGAGTATAGCGAGTGAATCCAGCTATATACCGAGCGCAAGGGCATAAAAACATCAATGCAACCGGATGAGAGCCAATGTCATTCTTTGCTCTGCCTGCCCAATGCGCGGAGCACTGAAACAGGCCAAAAAGAGAGGCTTCTACTACACAGCATATCTATCTCCCGCAACCCCTCGTTGCCTCTGCCGACGGTTCTACAGAGCGCCAAGCATATTGGATAGCACTTTGCCAAGTGACACCCACACGCGAAGATGCGGGTTCATGCCCCAAAATCGCCGTTCCACGTACAGCGATTGCCGCAACACCTACATGCAGTCACAGCAGAGGTGAGCTCTCTTCATCCACGAGACGTCATACCCAAAGCATCCATCGAATCACATGGAGCCGTCAAACCAGCAAAACCACAAAAAACACGCCCGTTTGCTCCATCACAGTCGAGCTCGAGTAGCAGACTCTCCCAGAAGCAAAATCGAATCTCTGGCTAAACCCCCCCCGCTTGCCCTCGTGCCCCCTTCATCTTCCTCCGAGGTCCTCGCACGAGCCTTGTCGGCACTATTGCCTTTGTTCGCTGTCAGCCGCCGGATGTGTCGCGCCAGGGACTCGACCTGCCGAATGGGCCAGTCAACGACAAGCCGCGAACACAACGACCACAACGAAGCGGCGCAGAACGTTCACGGCCTCTCGGGGTGGTCGTAACTGCTACCTTAGGTCGCACAAGATGCCACACGCCGAGGGAAGATTGCTAAAGCTCGAGGTGTGCACGTCACACTCAGCAGCTTGTCTCGTAGATGATGACGTCAGATAACCCGTCGGAGATCTACATGCCTTCGGGCTGTTGCCACAGAATAGAGCCAGTGGAACACGCTGAACGCGCAGCAGGCCAGTTGCCCCCCTCTCTTCTCTTGCGACAACCCACGTTACCGTACATCTGCTCTCCTCTCTTGTACCAGTGATTGATACCGGGGCCTTTTCGTACCACACACCCTACGATAAACTGGAGCCACAGCGAGAGCCTGGAGACCCCGATCTCATATACGCCAGACAGATGTGAGACGGAGGTCTCCAGGCTCGGGCTGTGGCTCTAGTTTCTCGTGGTTTGTGTGGTGCGAGGGGGCGTCCTGGTATCAATCACTGGCAAGAGAAAATAACAGATGTACGGTTACGTGGGTTGTCGCAGAGAGAGAGAGAGGAGGGAAGCTGGCCTTGTGCACTTGTTTTTTGGTCTCAGCGTGTTCCACTGGCTCTATCTAATCTGTGGCAACATCCCGAAGGTTGTAGATCTCCGACAGGTCACCCGACACGTCACGATCTACGAGACAATTTGAGGCCACCTTCACAATAGCGATGACAAAATGGCGACGTTGGAACCGTCTAACTAAGAGGTTTTCATCATAAAGTTGACTTTAAAATCCACGAAAGTAAATTTAATGTATTAGCTACTATAAAACAAATGAAGCTTTTAAAATCACCGTAAGTATTTAATATATAAACCAAAAAAATATTAAACAATATTTACTTAAGTCAAGAGCTTTTCGGAAACGCATCACTATTGGCATCCTCCTCGCCGTGGCTTTGAAAATCAGCCCATTGGGTGTGGTATCTTACGCACCCTTGTACGGTAACCGGAAGCAACGGAGCGAGGAATTCCATCTCAAGTGCGACCACCCACCTCCTCGTCAGTGTTGTACGCGTGTAGCGTAATCCTCAGCCGCTCCGTCCCCTCCGCGACAGTCGGCTTCCGGATCGCCCGCACGTCGAAGCCCAAAGCGCGGAGAGAGTCAGCCACGAGCAAGCACCTCTCGTTTCCTGCGATCAGGACGGACTGGATCGGCGACCGGTGGCGCGGGATGTCCTTGGCGTCCAGCGGGGGGGGGGGAGCGGTGCCGCCGGCCCACCTGTTGACGTCGGCATCGCTAAGGAGGCTGCGCGTTGCCAATGGGAAGGGGGGGGGGAATGGGTTAGCGATAGGCGGTGAGTAGTAGTTGAAAGGAGGGGCTTAGGGATGGGCGCGCTAAGGGTGGGTGAGAGTTGAGAGGAGTGGGTTAGGGATGGGCATGCTCGCTCTCAGCACAGTCAACTCGCTTCCACCGTCTTACACCCGCCGATCGATGGGGCCGAACGCAATAATCCCCCCCCCGTCCTTAAGACATACGCAGCTGTCATCCGTACGCAAGGAAGTAAGCACAAGATGCCGAACACCCTTAGCAGGATGCAGCTCACCCTTCATGCGACTCGCCGAATACCTCACGGCGCTTCGCGCTTGGTGATGTGAGAGCCTGGTCCGGTGAGAACCCGGCGTGCTCCGTCCCGGCTTTGTAGGGATGCGAGGTCAATGGTCTAACGACTACGGCATGCACGACTATGAGTACACCCCCCCACCCCCGTCGCCCCTACATGTAGAGAAAGAACGCTCCGTCGGAGGTCGAAAGAGAAGAAAGCTTGACTCACGACCCTTGCTGCTTCGGGTGAAGAAATGTGTGCAGAGCCAACTATCTCTCTGCCCCTCTGTCCGCCTCTGATCTATCTATGTGGCAGAGCCGGGCGGGGGGATCACGTATACATCTCTACACGCCGCCGTACCTACCAAATGATGTGACCCCCCCTCAAAAGATCCCGTGGATGGGTGTTTTGAAGCGTAGGACCAAAACAATTGTGCTTACCTTTGAAATGCATCCGCCAAATCCAGAACTCTTTTTCGCCGGTCGTCGGCACTCGCTTGCATCAGGTACGCGCATCGGATGCACGCCAAACTTTCGGGAGGTGGGGACGCAGTGGATAGCAGGGACGGGAGGCGGGGGGGGGGGGGGGGGGGGGGGCCTTTTAACAAAAAATTAAATCCCCCAAAAGCCCCGGGTTTTTTCCGCCCCCCGAAAAGGGATTTAAACCTTCCGGCCCTTTTACCCCCCCGGGGGGGGGGGGGGGGGATCCCATATGGGGCCCCCCAAAAAAAAAAAAATTCCCCCC